TGGGTTGGCCAAGCAAAGAGTGAATAGGGAGGCTGTTTTCTGGGCTAGTTTTTAATTTTCTTTGCTTTCCCTGAGTTTTCTGATTTTTGGGGAGCTAAGTTATTTTTTCTCCTTTTGTATTCCTTTCCCTCTATTCTCTTAATTTAATGAAATTGATGTTATTGATAAAAAAAAAAAAATAGACCGAGTACAAAGCAGTTGAAACAGATTCTGAGATTTAAACTCAGGGGAAACAGACATCCAAGAAGCAAGTTTAGACACTGCTGCCTGAATTAAGTCCTCCGGATTTCTCACTTTGTTGCAGAAAATCCTGTTGTTTCTTTCAGTCCGTCACTAAAACAGCCACAGGAATAGTTATCTGGATCAGATTACCCTTTTTCTTCAGACCGGGTAACTTCCAGCAGAATAAAATGCCCTTGACAGAACCAGGCATAACCCAGCAAACCCCAGCCGCCTTGAGAAAATGCTCCCAAACTCTTGCAGAGATCGAACAATGGATGCCAAGATGATCAACTGTCTCTGGAAAGAGCCCACATAGGCCACAGTTAAGATCTGAAATCTGAACCCCTCTCCTAACCAAGTTAACTCTCAACAAGCACTTGTTTAGTGCCATCACCCAAACCAGAAAATTATGCTTAGATGGGCCGACAGAATTCTGCACCTGCTTACTTGGGAAATCAAATATATTTATTCTATTCAGATTTGAGGCCAAGGACTTAACAGTAAAAACACCATCTTCACTTCCATTCATCCTTCAGATTAACTGAGATAGGTTGCCTCTGTAACAGTTGCAGAAGGTCCAACAGCCGGTCCATTTCCCAATCAAAAAGGTTTCTTCCAAGGGAGGGGGGGGGGGACCAGGAGATTGAGTCCCCAATCACATCATAAGAATCAGCAACTGAAGCCTCAAGACTGAGGGCACATTAAAGAGCAGAGGAAAGGCTTCAGCAAGAGGGATGTCTAAGCACCAGGAGTCCTTCCAAAACTTCAACCTATCTCCCCTACCGATCTTGAGAGCTAGGCCACCAGAAAAATCTGGAAAGGATTTAGTTTAGCAAAAGTCTTGGAGCTCAATAGCAAGAATTGTAGATTCATCCCAAGATGGTGAAAGGAAGGAACCAAAAGTGTTTGTTTTCTACTAGGAAAGGGAATATTAGATTCGTTGTCAGTCATTAAGGAGCATTGCTAGGGTTTCGCCACTTGTTCCTATGGGATCTCTTCAAGGATTGGCTTTCCTTTCACCCAAAGATCCTAATACCCATGTGTGCTACTACCTTTTGTTAGAATATTAGAGTTATGTTCGGCTGATAAGAGTTCTTATTAGCCCATTCTTATGTTTAACTTATCTTGTAACTGGGCTTGTGTTAATGGGCCTAATCCTGTTTAATGTTTAAGTCATCTGGGTGTCCCATCACTAATCAGGGGCATCCCAGTAATTTCTTGTACCTTGTACTATATTCATCTATAAATAAAGAACTGGTCGACTGGCTAGTACAGTTCGACATTCTCTTCTTTTCTGTCATTCTCTTTTCTTCCTTGCTACTTCGAGTATAGCACTTCAGATTACACCTTTTGCGCCTTACTTAATCGACATGGCGCCAGTGACGTCACTGCTTGGCAGACAATGTCTTATTAGACCTACGTGGTGCCTTGTCACATTCGTCACTTAGAAATTACACGTGCAGCTAATATCCGAGCCCGGTTCTTAACGAACCAGGATCCCATAGCGATCCGGGGTTCATCACGAGGCCAAATGCATGTAAAACCTCATTGGAGGTTCAACTTGAGTCTGTTTTGGACTTGTGTTAAGCGCAGGTTCATCAGAAGCGTGTGGTGAACCGCGGGTCCATCGCATACCTGCGGTGTACTATAGGTTAATTGCAGAAGAAAAATGAACTGCAGGCTGATCGTAGGCGTCCACGTGGCATCAATCTAGTATTTTCTGTGCTTTGAGGGACTGGATGAGCACTATGTACCTACACATGGGTAGGGTTAGAATGGATAATTGTAGAGGCTTCAGAATGTCTTGCACAAAAGGACAAAAATTTTGAGGTGTGAAGAAAACTAAAAAGTTACGGAATCTAGGGTTCTAGATGGAATTTTATGATGATATATGGAGAGGTGGAGGGTTTTTAGGATCCATGAATGCATCCAAATATGGTAGCAATCAAAGATGGTTTGGCCCCAAAAGATGAAAATGGTTGGAAGGGGGAAATTTATATGAAACTACTTTTCTAAATTGCAAGCATTTTATTCTATGTTATTTTGTTTAGTTTCCCAATGCAAGACAAAACCGAATTTATTCTGTTGAGCTGGTTATTTGGCTTCAGTTATGGCTTGTATGTCTACGAAAATAAACATGCATTCAACTGTATTAATATGTTGATTTTGTTCTGAAACAATGGTAGAACTTCCCAGAAGAGTTGTTCTCTATTCTTCGAACTGTACATTTGTTGAGAGGACTTGGTGTTGGCCTGGGCATCAACTATTCATGTGCAGAGCAGTGGAGACCTATTGCTGAAGAAGCTTTGTATCTCTCTGGGAGACTAAAAGGTTCACATCTCCTTGCTAAAATATTTCATCCCTCCCAAACTACAGACATGTAGCTACCATGTTTGACGCTCCTTGTGGTAATATTTCAGATAAAGACCTGAAGACAAAATTACAGAAGCGCAGCTTCTTTAGAAGAATGTTTTGGAGAGTCTGAATGTTTCAGTGGTGATGGGTAAATAGTAACTGATGTGAAAGAGTTATCTTGCCAGGTTCCTGTTCTTCCTCCCCTCCAAAAGAAAAAGAAAAAGAAGAATAGAAAGAACAAGGAAATATTGGTTGAGCTTCTGGGTTCCATTATTCTTTCTGTTGTAGCAATCTACGCATTCATCTCCCCAATGCCACAGTAGATCAGCAAGACAGATTAGATAATTCATTCACTTGATATCTTTCATTTTTAGTGGGTACAAATTTTATTTTCCTGTGGCCCAGATGCATAACTGCGAAAGAAAAAACAAAAATGTCACGGTTCATTGTCTCCAATCATCTATTCAATGAGGTAATTCCAGATTTCCCTTTTGAATTTGGTAGAATTGTGGTTATTTGACTTATTTCCCTCCTTGTCTGGAATATCTAACAGCAGAATAAAACAAAGGGGAAATAAAAAGTTCAGTAACAAAAGGAAGCACATTACTAGACACTTACGGAGCCAAGGTTTACGCTATTGAGGTAAAAAGGGCAAGGAAATGCTGGACCAACAGTTGTTTTAAACTTTCAATCATTAACTGAGTAAGCTTTTTATTTTCCCTTTTGCGTGTGGGGATGGGGGGTTATTTTCAGTATTTGATAAGAAAGCATCAATTTGAAACTCCTACAAAAATGAAATTTAAACACTGACCCATGTGATATCATAAAAGTTAAATCCAAATACCATACCATATATGATTAATACTTGCATTCCATATTGTGCATATCACGTACTCATATATCCAAATAGCATATATATATAATTAATATTTGCATTCCATATGTGCATGTTACGTACTCTTGATACTTGTCTTAATTTCATGCAAGTGAAAGTTAAATAAAAATACCATATATCATATATCTTATTACTTTTCTTGTGCACGTGCATGTATTTATAATGTTGTCAAGAAGGAAGCAGCTTTTCTTACTTTATAATTGGTTACTGAGATTTTGTGAGTGGAGTTTGACATACAAACAAGGTTTAAAATTTTGAGATGTTACGTCCAATATGGGGCGTATCGTATCGTATCTTTGAAAAATTGATATAGGATATGCATGGAAATCAGACGTTTCGTCTTTTTTCATACGTATTGGACCCGTATCGGTGGTGTATCGGAGTGTATTGGGAGTATATTGGGGCGTATCGATGAAAAAGATACAACTAAAAACTAAAAAATAAAGGGGGAAAACAAGCTCTTTTTCCCTGAAATAAGCCTTCTTTTGCCTTCCAAATGACTCTAAAATTCTAAACTTCATTTCTACAGTGTTAGATTTGCAAAAGTTTGCAAGAAACAAGTATGAATCGTTAATATTTTTTAAAGAATTTTCAAATTTTGAAAAAATATGGCAAAAATAGGTAAATTTTTTCAATCTTTTATAATATCTTGTGATTTTTTTTTCTTGAATGTTTAAATTTATGTTGATCTACATTTTTTACATTCAAAATCACTTTTTTTTTGTGTTGTCAGTAGATTTATGGAAATTTCATGAAGATATTTGGAGAAATATAAATTAACAAAAAATTTGAAAATGTAATTTTTTTTACCTATAAAGATTAAATGTTTTAGATCCATGGATTTATCTATCATATCCATAGAGCAATTGATTTTTTTTTTTATTTTTTTATATTTTTAGAATTTAAAAAATAAATAATAATTAATTATATTTTATCATTTGATTACAAAAATTGAATATATTATAATTCTATGGATGATCTATCATATCCATAGACCAATTGAAATTTCTTCTTTAATAATTATTTTTTTATTTTTATATTTTTAGAATTAAAAATTAATTAATTAATTAATTATATTTTATCATTTGATCACAATGATTGAATATATTATAATTCTATGGGTGATCTATCATATCCACAAAGCAATTGAAATTTCTTCTTTAATAACTATTTTTTGAATATATTATAAAATGTGTATTTATTTTTTATAATTTTTGAAAATAATAATTATTTAAATAATAAATAATTGTTAATTATATTTTCACATAGAAGTTGCGTCAATGCATGTTTTATGGTTGGATAGGAGAGTTGGGTTTTTCTCATCCCATAAAACATTAAAACTTAAGAATTATAATTTATAAATTATAGTTAAGAAAAGGATTTTAATGAAATTATAATTAGATATAATATATTTCTTTGTAAAACCATTAAAATATATTAATTTAATGTATATATGCCTCATTGAGGTTTTATATTTAGTGTTGTTGATGTATTTTTATGATTTATTAAAGTATTTATAGTGTTTTCATGTGTATCTTAGTTTTTTTCCGAAATGCATGTGTATCCAAGGTGTAACCCGATACGTCTCTTAAAATTGCCTTTCCGATACACTTGGCATTTCCGATACTTTGAACCTTGCATACAAACATGCACTTGGTTATGCTTACTTGGAAAGCCTATGGGTCCAATTTGGAGCCTCTTTGGGAGGGATTCAGCTTTGATTGAGCTGCACTCGCTGATGTTTGGAAGAAACTATTAAAATTAGTGTCACTGGAAAGTTGATTTCTTGGCTAAAATAACCTGTACTTGAGCTTTTTGGGGTTCTCACCAAACATAACTTATAGGCTTTTCAAGTAGGTTCACCTTGCAAAGTCAAAAGCTATTGCATAAAAGCTCTCCCAAATAGGCACTTAGGAAGGCTGAGCTGGTTCAGCTGCTTTGAATAGGCTATTCAAAAGAGGTAGAAGTGGACAACCCTTCACATTTTTCACCAAACATAACTTATGAGTCATCTATGTATGACCCACCTTGGAAAGCCAAAAGCCTATGCATCTTGAGCCCGGATCTTCTGATTGCAACGCCGTGTATCACTTGCTACATAACCAATCACAAGTTAATACACCAATGTTCTGTACACAAAGGGTAACAGTGGCATGTGGGCCCATGTATATGAAACACTGCGTTTCAACCTCCAAGGAGTGTGGATCTGTTGCCAACAAGACACTACAGAGGTGCATTAAGGAGATGTTCACTTTGTACGGAGACTGTCTTGTGGTAACTGTGGATGGTAGACCCGGGCTCTCAACCAAGTAAGCCCCGCCTACAGTTTTTTGAGAACTTTGAACACTGAACAAGGTTGTTTCTACAACTATGTATGTGTTTGGTATAATTTCCGTTTATTTACTAAATATTTGTACTCGATTTGTTTATAAAATTGAGAAAAGTAATAACGAAACCATTTATTGACATTTGACAATTAGGTGTCATTAGGCATTATATCAGCATAATAATGAATAAACGCATAGCCATTGAGGGAAGTGTTAAAATGAAGGTTCTGTTTATTCACTAAACGTTTATACTTGATTTATTTGTAAAAACAAGAAAAATAATAATGAAACTTTTTATTGACAACTAAGTGATATTAGACACCACATTAGTATAACAGTGAATAAACACCTAACCGTTAAGGGAAGCATTAAAATGATAGGCGTGCACATAAATCAAGGTAAGCTTTTGCAAGTCTCTATGGGTATGGATCAACATGATGGGCTAAATGCTGAAGTGGTACATATATGGCAACATTTATTGAAAAAACACCCACAGTTCCAAAACACCACCTATATGGCTCACATTGACTGCATTTTATTATTGGTAATTCTGACATATGTAATAGGGTGTAAGCCATACAATCTTTGAATGTTTTTAAACATCATTTCAGCAAATGTTGTGGGTTATTATGGAGGTCTAGTGTGGTGTTCTTTGCCAAGACATATTCATCGCTACAGCAAAGCTGATTATCTTTTACTGTTTCTCCCTATATTTGGGTATAGTTGATAGTTGAACCGAGAAAACTTCTTCAATTGTTACAGGTGCAGTTGTTCAGAGATTAACATATTTTCCTTCCATCTTCGTAGAGAAAAGTAGAAAACAATTCATTAAAATGTGCAACTAGACCTGTGTTCGGTTTGAAAGAAAAGGTAGGGAAAGGATGGGATATATTTAACTTTGCTTAAAGCTTGCTGTCACTCTCTCAATCTCATTCTCTGGCAAGTGGCAACCTATCGGCGACAAATCTTTTCCTGTCCTAATTCTGATTCTTGCATTCATCTTATTGCCCCATTCTGAGTTACCACACCTTAATCTTGTCCGATTTCTCTTTTGAAATTTTTGTTTCCACCTGTTCGTGATTAATGAATTCACCTTTTACAAAAAAATAAAGAGATGAAGCCCAATTAGGCTGTGTTTGGTTGCAATGAAAATAAATTTGCATTGATGCAAAATCGTGACAGTAAAAATGATTTGAGTGTAAATTATGACATATTTTTGTTTCAAATTTTAGTTTACTTTGTTTGATTGCAGTACAAATGAAATAAATTAAGACATGAAGTAGAATAATTTAAAATCTAAAACAAAATTAAACAAGAATTTACATTTTTTACATTTGCACCACCATGCATTTGTACTAGTGCAAATAAATTTGCACTGCAACCAAACACATTAAGCTCAAAATTTAGTAATTTACAACTAGTCCGTTAACCTCGTAATGCTTGTTTTATAAGGTTTTTGCAAAGGCTCCAGTGAGAGAAAAGAACGAACAAAAGAGTAGAGAACTCTGTCAAAATGTGGTAACAACAACTGCAAACGTGAAGAGGAGTTCTTCAAGACTCAGAGAATTTTCATCGAATCCAGACTCATGTCAAACTTGATATAAAAAAAACCCAAATTCGAGTTGAGTTCTTCAAGCATTAAGGAATGCACAATCAAAAAGAAAAACATTGATACATCAAAACTCAGAAAGACACAGGATGATAATATTTTTTTGCATATCCTCACATGAAATGCCAGAAATTGACCAAGAAAAATAAAAAGGAAAAACAAAAAACAGAAGAGCCAATCTAACATTATTTGCAGAGTCTAAAAACTGAACCCAACCATATATCATATATACGATGCAGGAGAGAATTATGTTCTACTTCAGAAATGATCGGATTTGGGAGAAGTTATTTCCTACCCACAAGAATTCTACCCATACCTATCCGACAGGACACAATAGCTGCACATCGGGAACATCTCTGATCTTCCCTATGAATGATAACGTTCAAATACGTCAGATGTTCTCAATGTGCGGCTGTAGTGATGCGTGGATAAAGTTGAGATCGGAACACGTCTGTAGCATTATTCCATTTCCATCCATGGATTCGCATTTTGGGTTCATGCTCCAAGCTCGGATCTTCTACTTACGATGACGTTGCCCAACCGTGTACTCACTAGACACTGCATCTGCACATCGGGAACATCTCATGTCTGTAGTGTATTGCGGCGAGTGGGTAGGATAATGGGTAGCGTTGTGGGTAGCAGACGCAGACTCAATGGTCCCGCCTCAATTTTGTATGGACCTCGCGTTTCTGCATTCCCGCCCTAATTTGTACCCACTTTCGCCTTGGCCGCGCCCGCGCCCGCGCGGATCCATACTTTCAAAAATCAAGATCTGACCCAAGAGCCAGGATCGAGAGAGACGAAGATTTTTAGGCGCACTGTTTTCTGGAGCGGAAAGCAATATCGACCATCGAGAGCTAGAAAATTCTCTTCTACTGTTCTCCACTCGAGAGGGAGATGTTGGGGAGAGTCAGACCTTCCTCACTGGATTGTCTGGAGAGGCCTCCTCCAAAGATCATCAAGGACGACGCTCTCTCCATCTACGGTAAATTTCCCATTCTTTTTTCTCTCATTTTCTCTTCTTTCGTCTACATGCTTTCTTTCGGTCGATTGGGTTCTATTTGCGAGATGGGCTCTACTTCTTCCCAAATCACACCAATTTCGAGTAGAAAATGCCAATTTGATTTAGGGCAAATTCTTGAAACGTGTGGAATTGTTCACTGGGTTCTTTCATTTTTGCGTTATCATGCCACTGAGCTGTAGAAGAGTGCTGTTTTTCCTTGTTCCGTAGCAAACAAACTGATCAGATAGGTGGCTGCCCTAGAGAAGTTAAATTGTCTGGAGTTTAAACCCTTGATTCAAAACTTGAATACCTCGTGAAAGAAATCATTTTCATTTTATTTTTTATAGCATATGAACTCAGGCATTATCATATCAAATGCAATCATTTCTTGCCGTTCACTAGAATTGGATTTCAGTTTCTTTATTGGAAACCCAAAATGGACCCATTCCGTTTCCTTATTAATAAATGAACTTGTACTCTAATATTTGAAAGACTGGACATCAGAGATGGGATTTTGTAATGTTGCACATGTTTGGGTCTTATTATGTTTCGGGACAAGACTAAAACAGACGCTATGTTCTTCACTCTTCACTTATCACATTTAAGAGTTTTACTACTAGAATTCGCTTCAATCATTTCCATGTTTTTTTTAGATAATTTGGTAGAATTAAATCCTGTATCCTCTAGAATGGTGATGGTTAAATATCAGTTCTTTAAACATGAAAATTTGAGTAATTAACAATTTAACAGTGGTAAATCTTAATTCGGAGTTTTCTTTGTTCATTAAAATCTTATTTGGTAATGTTTGGTCATGGTTATTAACATCAAGGTGATGTCTAGGTGGGTGCCTTAGCAAGCCTTTGCCTAGGTGAAAGGTATTTTCTAGGGTGTGTCATTATATCATGGTTTTCTTGGATACATGTTCAGTGCCTTCTTCGGAAAGGGAAAACAAGGGTAAGACAGGCACCTTATCACATACTGTTTACTATGTTGTATTTTATTTGTACTCTATGATACATGCCATCATATTATATATATATGTTCGTATGCTGTTTGTTAACTTTTTTCTTGGATTCATTTTGCAATGCTTTCTTGCTTGGATTTAATGTTCTGTAATTTCGCTTATTTACATGGATTCAATGTGTTGTAATACCTGCTTGGATTCCGAATGCTATTGACATGTTGCTTTGCTCATTAGTTTGGATTCTTGTTATTATAAAGTTCACATCATTTTGCTGATGGAATTGATTATAATGTTGAATATTAAAATTTACAGTTAAAAGTTACATTACCCTATGGATTTAATGGTGTAATGTCTTTACAGAAGCAACACTTACGAAGCTTAGACTTGGTTCTCAACGAGCTCTTCTTTCATCCTCAACAAATTCAATGGATATAGATGTCTCTTCACAAAGAACTGATTCAAGGTATAGTAATGGCCCATCTGTTGATTGTTCAAAACAGCAAAAGGAACAAGACTTCAATTCTCTGTCAGTTTCCTAATGTAAGGTTGTGTATGATGTATACATGATTGCTAACTTCTATGGATGACATTTTCTTAGTTTAAGAGATGAATTTTTCCATTGAATCAATATGGATTGTCCTGCAATCACTACCAAGCCTGGCCTGATTTGGGTATTGGGCTGGCTCAACTCAACATTTAAATTTTAAACTTTTGCTTCCTGGACGGAAACGCTGCTTTGGATGGTGAATAACTAAGACACATCTCCCATGTTCGAAAGAACCTTAAAACTGGGTTATATGCCCTTTTTTTCCACCAGCCAATGGTCCTCCCCTCTTTCCATGGGTTGAAACTCGTATGTGGCAATTGTCTCTAGTACTGATATCCCTGCAGGTTTTATACCTTCTCAGATACCTAGTGTATTCCAAAATCCTACTTTCTCTTTCGGGAGGATCATCTTGCTGAAATACATTTTGATCTAATGATGTTCAGTCTTCTTTGTTCCAATCCAACCCATTTCTCCAAGGTCAAACAGGTAACATTTTACGTTGTGCCAATCCTTTGTAATGTCATTATAAACGAGACTGGATTCCATGTTGCAACTTGCAAGCACGGCAAACCATCTTCATCTCTGTTTTGCTATCGAAGATGAAGAAGCTTTGGCCTTTGTGGAAACCGTGCAATATAGTCTTCTACATGCATGGAGTGCCAAATATCATACTTGAAGGAGATTTGTCAACCATTACCCCAACTCCTATGAGGGAACTCTGCAACCCTCTTGGTATGTGCATGTGCATCCACTCGGTAACAGGTAACAGCCGACTCCAGAAATCTCCTTCAAAGATATCATCCATCACACATGACATGAGATCATTAAAGCAGGAAAGAAAGAGGCAAAGAGCTATGCGTTTATTCAACTTAAAAAAAATGCTCGAGGGTTTCCTCGTCATCTAATAGCGGCATCAAAATTTTCAATTTTCAAACAGAATGCTATTCATCCGAGTAAAAGTTTATAATATTTTTGTGATGGCAACATTTGGCTGAAACATGAACATTTTAAAGCGGAAATGGTTCACCAATAATTTGCACTCTGTAGTCTTCTGGACATGCTTTATGTTGAACAACGGCAATAGAAAGTTTGAGAAAAATTTTGATAAAACTGAATGGCAACAGGCACTTCACGTATGGGGAAACCTTCAGCATGGGTAGCAAGTCACTTTGGCAACATCATCAGTCTCGACCTTCGAATAAAAAAAGATGGGCATTTCATTAGACAGCGATTCAATCTCAGTAAAGGAAGCATGGACAATGATGGATGCAGTCATGGATACAGGTGTCAAGTCAATGGACCAAGTTTTTGTTAGAACCAATCTAAATTATAACAAATTTGAACAGATTGAACGGTCTAGACATTGAATTGGACTGGTCCAAAAATAGTCCAGAGTATTCATTCGATTGGATTAATTAGACCTGGTCCTGGTCCATCTGTAATGGACTCATATTAGAGCAGATTGGGCCAAATTTGGTCCAATCGACACCCCTACTGGGGCTTCTGCACTACAATTAGAACTAGCCTCTGTTAAAGTGCTTACTGGGGCTTCTGCACCAAAGTGTTAAAATATAGTAGGTCTGACATAGCTGTAATGGTGCCACAAGGATCATCCTGGCATTCCCATCAGTCATCTCCTCGTCTTGGAACATCCAGTGGAGCTGGGGCTCTCTAAGCCTCCAACACACAATAGTGTAGTCCGTGATATCAGGTCTTGCCCTTTTCTCCTACGTTCTTCAGTCTCTCCTACCTTCTTTACTCATAAAAGAGAGAAGAAAGATGGATTGTTTGAGATTGATTATGTGCGTCATGACCCATGACCCTGATTTTTGTATAAACCATGAACCTATAAGAGTCGTTAGGGAGTCTACTTTTTGATCTCCTACTCCTTCAAGTATACCAATTTTTTTTATCAACATATAGACTATAGTCAATAGAGTTTTCTCAGTTTAAAGCTTTAAATCATTTAGTGGGTCTCGGTCTGGAACCACCCCGTGCCATACCTGGGCCAAACCCGACAAGACCCATAACCAATGAATATAATGAGGTTCATCTCGAACATATTTGCACCCAACCCGAACCCGATCCGGAGATACCAACTTCAAGGACAAAACGCATGAGAGAAGCCGGCTTGTACTGTGCTGTCAGATGAGATCACCAGACTTATCGGGAAGTGAATAAATGATGTATGCATTGGTAAGCAATTTCAAAAGCAATGATCTAAAGCAAAGCAAATTCATATGTATTTTCAATGAAAGTGCCATCCTTCCTACCCGACAACTGACAAACTATAAAATAATCAAAAAGGAAATTTCCATCTGCAAACCCTAGCCCAATACTATGATTTGGACCATTTACCTTCTTGAATTATAATTTGAAAAACCTAAACATGGCCTTTAAACTCAACCCAAAAAGATCAATCCCAAGAGGATGATTGGCCTATCAATTCATTTGAGCAATTTAACCCAAGGTTTCCAAGAACTTAAATATAGGTTATTTTGGTCAAAAAAGAAATCCAGTTCTAATTTTTGAAATTTTGAAAATCTGAAATGGATATCACCCAAAATTTTGTAAAATGAAATTTTGTTTGTTGTGGAACATTTTGAAAATTTTAAAATATTCATAAAATTTGATCAATAAGTATTGAGAATCATTCCAACATAATCAGAAAAATACCAAATAAAATATCCAGTTCCAACTTGTGTTAGGTTGGAATGACTTGGCATCTGGTACTAAGCTTTCAATAAACAACAAACTAATACCAAATAATTAAAAAAATAACAACATTACTTGTTTCATTGGCATTGAAATTGTTTTTCTTTCTCCTTTTGTACCAATTGTATGTGTTATAGGACCATTGAAGTTCTAGTCTAATGGGCTGGTGGCCATTCGATTATCTTCGTCCACAATCAATCTATTATTAAAGATCTATTGACTTTAATTATTTAAACACACGTAATTCCCATCCAAATAAATAGACTATTCTATAGTCAATTATGATTAAAAAAAGATGCAGAGAGTTGTTATTCAATTGGATTGACTTGGTCAGGCTTCAGATAATTTGCGTGAACAAGAAGAGCAAATTCATATTTTATGGAAATAAACAAACCATATCCATAAACTCATCTTCAGTTATGAGGTTGGGGTCCAATTCTTAAAAGACGCACGTCTCTATCCTGGCCGAAGCTTTAGACTTCGGACCACCAGCTCTTCTCTGGTACATGGTTATGATATTCTGTATTCATTTCTCAACACATTAAGTGGTAAGCTGGGTGACCTGGAGCTGGAAGTTTCGGGTACCGACCAGTTGTCATAATACAATTAACTACCCAAGACACAACCACCTCTCCCACTCTTGCCTATATAACTACTAGTCTGTCTGAGAGAAACTTGAATCTTGTAAGGAAGTTGGCCTCCCCTCTCTCTCTCTCTCTCTCGGCTCAGAAATGGCGATAGGGAGGACTGCTTCCCTCTTTTCTTACATGTGCATGGTCATGGCAATGTTGGTATTGATGGGTATCTCAGAAGTGGCTGCTCATAATGGACATGATCATCATCATGCCCCTGCCCCAGCTCCAGCTCCAGGCACTACTATTACTACTCCTACTAGAGGCAATGGTGCTGCTGCCTTTTCCTCTCCTTTGGTCCTGTCAGCCCTATTGACTCTCCTGGCTTTCTTCTTTCCCTCTAGGTTCTAGCCTCTCTTCATCTGCCCATTTTAAGAGATTGTTCTTTGGGATTTGATTGCGTTTGTCTTGGTTTTGTTTTAGGTGTTTGGATGATGATCTCTGCTATTTGTACCATGTGTATTGTCCATAATAAATAAAATCTCAGTGATATTGATTTCCTTCTATAATAATAAGAATAATCATAATTAATGTAGCAAAAAGATGAACGTTAATTCTACTCCACAGTGTCCAGAGGTTTATTACCAATGCAATGCTCTTACATGCGTAACCAAAATTTTAAATAGTGGGGATGTAAGACATGGTGTTCATGTTCTGTAGTTAATACCCTTCCCTGACATGGAAATGCTCATTCAAAGATTGAAATAAAAAACTTTTTTGTATCCATTAATATCAGCCCCTATATATATGCATATGCAAATTCTTGTTCTCCACAGAAATGCATCATCATACACCTCAATTGTGCACCTCAGTAGTCCACATATCAGTCCCAGACTCCCAGTTGGTCTCACTCGCTGTGTTCTAGATGTAGTGTAAGATGAATTTGACGACGAGGATGCAATGCCCTATATCTAATGACGACAATTCCTCTCTATCACTCCTATTATACAAAGCCATCCAAACCTAGGAAAGCCGAGAGTGTAGTTGGAGATCCCACTCTGTAGAGTAGAAGAGATAGTCGAGCGCAAACTCAGCAATCTCCCGGGTCCCGAGATCAATATTAAGCTTCGTTTGGGAGGAGAACACGTTATTGCCCCATGTAGATGCAGAAAACGCACAAAAACATAGGGCCTGTTTGAGAGGACTTCAGCATTGGAGGTGAGTTATGTTGATTGAGCCGTGGTTGTTGACCACCTTGGTCCGGACAAACTACCTGGTGTAGCTTTAGTTCACAGTCGTTTTTCTTGCGTTCGGATTTTCACCAAACACAACTTTCATAAATTCCATATGATGGGGCCTCATCTCAGAACGCAAGAAGCCACATCCCGAAAGCCCTCCAAACGGGCATATAATAACGAGCTTAATACTTCGCGAGTTCAGTTCTAGGCTTGGCAATCTCGCTTAGGCTGTGTTTGGTTTGATAGAATATAAGAGAGAAACAGAACTTTCCTCAGCCTTCTCCTTCTCTCTTATTTTCTATCAAACCAAGCATAGCCTCAGGTCCTCAATTCCTCATTGTGTGAGGGGTCTTCAAGGACATGGATTCTTGAATTTGGGCACATGTAAATGTCACTACAAAAAAGCAAAAAAACAGAGGGCAAGGATTTTATACACCCTTATCTCGATAATTGCTTTATTCTTGTCACAAAAATGATGCCTCCATATTGCAATTTCATCTCGGATCGTTGCTTGAAATCATCGATTGACATTCTGACATGTAAACCAAACCCACGAGTACATCATGAAAAATTATTCCCTTAACCAAGGTGCTTGAACATGTACCCATTGACATAATTCTCCTTCTTTGAACCAGAGATCTGCAGAAAATAAAGGTCACAAACCAGGCTTTCTTATACAACTTTGGAACCCAAGGTAAAATGTAAACAAGCATTTAAAAAGAAAGGCATAATCCCATGTCCAACAACAAAGAAAGTAAACAAACCAGAATTTTGTATTGCCAAACTACTACTATTTCCAATGGTTTAGACATGCCATCCAAGACATTATATAATTGTAAAAGCTGCCCCAATAGTGAATACTACAATGGTTTAGACATGCCATCCAGCAGACAAGGTCATTAATCCGGAAATTGTGAATGTTAGGGCAGTCTCAAATTAGCAATCATCAGTAACCTGAATGCCTGCTGTATTATATAATGGCACTAACGATACATTGTAAAAGCTGCCCTAATTTTGCATGTTTACTCATTTTTTATCAGTGACCTGAAAGCCTGTTGCATTATATAATTGTGCTTGTTTACTCATTTTAATCAGTGGGTCAGATGACAAACATGTGTTGTCATTATGCACGGTAGGTAGAATTTGCCCTAGTTGTGCATATTACAGCAGTGGTTTAGATGCCAAACATATTATAGACAAGATTATTAATCTGGATATTGCAAATGCTAGGCCACTTTGAAAATAGCAATTGTCTAAAATTCAATCTGTTTGGAATAATCCAAACAATCTAATATTTTTAATCTTTTATTTTTTTTGGTGGACAAACCATCTAATCAACAACTTATCATCTAAGAAAACTTGATACACTGAAATTGACCAATGAGATATAAATTTCTTATTGATAATGGCTGCTATATTGATCTATCTATATCCAAACCAATTAAGTAGATGCCTAATCATCTCACTAGTCTTGTCTCTTTCCTTTTCAAATTAAAATGTAAGTATTGATGGTTCCTCGTCAATAGGTGCTGTTCGTGTGGTACAGATGAAGAGAATATCCTGCATTTCCTGGTGAATTGCACTTATTCACAGGCTTTGTGGTTTTTTTTTTCATGCTTTGAATTTGTTTGGGGTGTCTTGGGTCAACCCTCCTGATGTGGAGTCCCTGCTCTCTACTAGGAGAATACAAGCTTTTAGTAGAAGGGGGAAAGCGCTCTGGAATATGGCCCCTTTTGCAATTGGTCGGTGCATCTGGAGGGAAAGAAACAACCAAATTTTTGAAGATGTCTCCCTGCCTATCAAGAAGCTTTGTGACAAGGTTGAGAGGACTGTTCTAAAGTGGGCCTCATTCAGAAAGATGTTTAGAGGACTAAAGTATAATCATTTCACAGATAAATGTGATTCTATTTTGTGGGATGATACCTTTGTTGGTTGATGTTGTTCTTGTATTGTGCTTTTCTTTGGCGTCTGCATGCTTCCTTGTAGCCGGCTGTAAAGGAAATCTCTCCCTTTACAGCCTTTTCCTTCTCATTACCTAATGAAATTGATTACTACTTTTGATGGCTCCTTTAGTCTATAAAAACTGAATGTACTGGTTTGATGTTTAAGTCTATACGCCACCAAGAAGATTGACATAACTTTGCCCAGTTACACCACCAATGGCTCAAATTCAAGTAACACATTAAGACACATTGACTGTAGGAAGCAGTGTTACAAAATGCAAGCACCTGGGCAGACCACCAAGGCAAGTCAATTGACTACTTAGGTAAGTAAATAAATAATATTGACAACTTGTTAATTACGAATATATAACAACAAGTCTCCTTTTCCAAACAAGATTTACAGTTATTTCAGAATACAGGTAAATGGCAAGCTTCCTCTTGGTGGAGCATGGTCAGACTAGCATTATGTACATTTTTCAAATTTAGCTTTAAGCAGAAACATTTACATTGTCTATTTGTCCAACTTTGGACCATTCTCCATCAAAGCAGTCCAGATTGAATGATTTGACTAAATGCATCAGTGGTCATTACACATGGAACAAAGGATGGAAATTCCTAAATGCATATAGATTTTAGGTTTATCACATAGTTTTCCTTGCAAAAATCCACCTGGCCTTGTTTGAACTAGGGAACTCAAATAAGAGGACATTGGAAGCCAAGACTTATGAGAGCATCCACAGGTAAGAAATGTTTCTGTAATAATTTAATTAAAATTTGAGTTTATGAGAAGATTAAAAGGCCTCACCTATTTCACGTTTACCATTTTCAGGGCTGTCACTTCCATGGACGACATTCCTGCAAACAGGTACATCATGACTCAGAAGAACTTGTCTTGCTACAATCTAATCAATATAGACAAATAAATGCATGTAGTACACTACTTGGACATAAAGTCCAGACTCTGGGAAACTGACCTTCCTGTTTGTACTGCTAAATCCCCTCTGATAGTGCCTGGTTCAGCTTGAAGGGGATTTGTTGCACCTATAAGCTTTCTTGCAGAAGCAACAACACCAACACCCTCCCAAGCCTTCATGAAAGGAAAGTGGGGGCAATTAATAATACACACAACTGACTGTCAACTAAACCTTAAGTGCTATGAAATTTAACTACTTTAAGTATTATCGTTAACAATTTAAAGAAAAAAGCCAATGAAAATCATACCATACAGACAACTGGCCCTGAAGTAATGTACTCGATCAGCTTAGGAAAGAAAGGCTTAGTCTTAAGATCCTTGTAATGTTCCTTTAACAATTAAACAAAAGAAACATAAATAGGATAACAGAAGTATATTAGAGAAAGGGTCAGACGAAAAGCTGCAATGCACTGGTAGCCATCAAGTTCACATCAATTAGAAGGGTTCAGCTGATGCTGCTTCTTACCAAGTATGCACGGAATCAAAATCAACATAATTCCCACAGCAGATACAAGAAAGACAAGATGGATTTCCTTCGTTCACATCTAAATCTCTAATAGTAATTTCAAAAGGACGTATTTCACTATTTCTCACATTGGAGGCATGGAAATACAAATGGGATTCTTTTTTCAACAAACAAGTGAATAAAGGTATGGTTCAAGCACAAACCTCTGCGAGTTCCTTGGGGCATTGGAAAAGTTTCAAGCCTGTGAGTTTAAATCCCTTCCTTTCAAACCTCGAAATGATCTCTCCCACCTAGAAAAGCAAACATATAATTTGAACATAACTTTTTGGTGGGAAATAGCCTGTTTTCCATTAACCTCTTAAAATAATTGAGAGAGAGAGAGAGAGAGAGAGAGTAACTGAGTCGTACCAGACCTCGTTGAACGCCATCGGGCTTTATCATGATGTATGTCTCTTCAACTTCTTCCTGAGCGCAGTAAAACAAAGAAGAAGAAGAGTTAATTACACAAAGAGAAGAAAGATGAAGGAAGACATTTTTTAAGTGGATTCATAATCATTTCTAACAAAGATGGAAGAGATGACCAGGAGGAGAAAAAGAGCTGACCATGGAAGCAACCAAGTGAGGAAGGAAGATGTGGGTTTTGTTCCTCCTGGTGCGCATTTTAGAAGTGGAGAGAGGAGGAGAAGACGAAAAGAGTGAAGATGGGCGCAATGCAGCGAGGTGGTGGGTGCGTAGAAAAAGCTTCCGGAAGTTGGAAGAGCTGCCATTCCTCTCGGTTGGGGAGTGAAAGGATGAAACACAGGGGATCGCTCCAAACACAGCTAGAGCTTCCATCCTCTTTCTGTCAGTGTCTCCCCTTCAGCTTCAGATGAGAGAACGAATGGATTTATATGGTCGAATTACCCAAATATCCCTTCCTTGAATTGTTTGAGATTGACCAAAACACCCCTACGATAAAATGGAAGGTTGTTCACTGTAGTCGATGGATACGCTCACAGTCACAGACAGACAAAGAAGGCAACAGAACAGCGATTGTAACCTCCAGCTGTCCTGAATTCTTAATTCCAGTTCCCCAACGCTCCATCCAAGCAAGAGGATGCATTGCATGATTTACTAAACTAAATATTATCTGCTAAAAGGGGTAAATTTGATATTTACTCTAATCACACGTGAATCAACAATTGTACCTCTCAACAGTCAATATTGAAGGGATCTCATACTTTTAGTACTTGGTTGGTTTAAAGAGAAACTTTTCTCCACAGCTTTAGCCCAGCTGACCTTCAAGGTAAGGGATCTGTAGTTCTATACTTCTATTGGCCCAGATTCATTCAATGGTTGGACCAGTCCGCCCGCGTTCTGTGTGCACTGGGAGAGTGCACCCACGAACCACGTCCGAACACGTTGACCAGGGGAAGCAATCATAACGTTAACGATCAAAGGCCCATTAATACGGATTTGGCGGTTCAACCGGATACAAACCGGCCACAATATTAGGTTTCTGTTGAGACAAGAAGCCCTTTGTAATAATAAGAATAAGAAGTAGTAGTAGTAGAGGAAGAGGAGGCTAAAAACGTATAACTGGAGCTCTCACCATTCCCACCGGTGGTTGCCGCTGGTTCAGGTCACTCACTGTGGTATGGTTGCCGGTGGTTGTCCAGGTGGGTGGTTTCTGTTGACACAAGAAGCCCCAGAAACGTACCGCCGGAACTCTTGCCGTTGCTGCCGATGGCCGCTGGTTCGGGTCACTCGCTGTGGTATGGTCACCGATGTGTGGGTAGGGTCTGGTGGAGGGAGGAAAAGCATAAGGAGAAATGCAAAATGTGATTAGGGCTTTGAATTCATTAACCTTTTGTCATTTTGCGGCCGGTTTGTGTGTGGTTGAACCGTTGAACCCGTGTTAAGGGGCCTTAGACTGTTAACGTTATGTTTGCTTCCCCTGGTTGATGTGTTCAAACGTGATTCGTGGGTGCACTCGCCCACTGCGCGGATTCCCTAATAGGTATTTGGTAGGTCTATTACATTAACCAGATTTTCTGTCAAGAGTTCCTAAATATCGAGAAGTAACCAAATACCAGTAAAAGTGAATTTGTGGGCAAAATTTATAAGGGTCATTTATTATAATACCCCCTATAGTTTCACAGATTTACTTAAATCTATCCTATTGTTTGCATTTTATTAAAACATCCTTTATAATTTACAACCTGTTTATTTAATCGATCTTTCATTAAGAAATATTCGTGTTGTCATCTGAAAATAGTAACATGATCACTTAAATTAAGTGGAAAATGTTCAAGGGCATGTACTCATGGTTGTTTATTCCAAAAGTACCCCTAAATTGAGTGGAAAATGTTCAAGGGTATGGATCCATGGTTGCCTATTCCAAAAGTACCCCTAACACTTTTTTGTATAGAAAACAAAATTGAACAAATAGAGAAAAATAGTGGTTGTCCATGTTTTAGTAGGGGCAAAAATAGCATTTTTGTTTTTAGTTTCTTTTGATTAAATTTAATTGAATGGATGTTAGGGTTAAAACTGTTATTTTCCACTTTCATAGGGGGTGTTTTAGTAAAACACAAACTATAGGGTAGGTTTTAGTAAATTCATGAAACTATAAGAGGTGTTTTAGTAAATGACCCAATTTATAAACAAGGTGTAAAACTAGGGGTGGCCATGACCATGAGCCGAGCTCTTCACGAGCTACTCAAGCTCGGCTCGGATCGGTTTTAATCGAGCTCGAGCCTAATAAAGTTCAGCTCGTGAGGCTCACAAGTCGGCTCAAATAGCTACATAATAATAATAATAATACAATATAAAATTATAAAAAATAATATATATAATATTTTTTTATTTTTATATATAATAATAACAACTAATTATTATAATTCTTAATTTTTGAAATATCAAATAAGACTATTTTTTATATATAATTTTTTTTTATTTTTATAAAACATTTTTCTCAAGTTGAGCTCAAGTTTAGCCGAGCTCAAGCTTACGAGGTTTTGGCTCAAGCTAAGCTTGAGCTCAAGGTTCTAGCTTGAATCGAGCTCGAGCTCAAGCCTTGCACTACCTCCACCCCTATGGAAAGCCTCTTCTTATAGGAGGCAATAATTAAGGCCCATTCGTTTTTTGGTAAGTTATTTATCTTGGTGAATGCGCTTGGCATTTATTTCTCAAGTAAACAAAAAAAGACATTAACCATTTTGGTCATAAAAATCCATTATTAAAAGGGGCATTTTTATCACATTAAAGTATTGACAACTTTTCTTAAGTGGAAAAGATGTGGGTATAAATAAATTTTCTCTAATCCTCACATAAATCTAAAAAAAGAACATGGGTTTTTTTCGTCTTTAAAAACCAAAATTCCATTGACCAAATTTCCCTCTCTCAAAATCCAAAAAACCAACACACCCTAAGGGGAAACAAAACCAACTGCCCCATCCATCATAGATTTATGCAAATTCAACCAGGCTCCAAGTCTACCTCTATATTTCCATCGTGGGAAAAATTTCCCAGGTTCTCTATATAAAAATCTGAACCCTCCAAATAAATAGAAAAAAAAGGGTCTAAGGGTTGCTCCCCTAAAGCAGGCATATGCAATATAAGCACTAAGCATAGAGTAATTAACATGCATGTCTTCTACTCTTCTTCATGTAATTGCAAAGAATACGGAATCTAACACTGCGGAAAGAAAATCCATATAGGCTGTTCTATCCCGTCGGAGGGAAAGAAAATTAATCTGACGACACAGCTCTTGGCTGTTGGGGCTAACAGCCTATGATGTTGAGAAACGTTCTTGGGAATGCCATGTTACCATGAGAGCCTATTTTCTCTTGACCAAAATGTTAGAGATGGGCGTAAATGACTAAATGGGTTAACGTGTCAAGCCCAAGAACATTCTCAACAGCATAGGCCATTTTGCTTGTTGGCCCCCAACAGCCAAAGTTATCTCTTCATTGAAGGTATGCATCGAAAATGCTCAGAAAGTGCTAAAGAAGGAAAAGGAATGCATCTCGTTTGATTGATTATATTCATCACATAAATAATACATCTCACAGAGAAAAAGGACATATAAGAAAGAACATGAACAAAAAGAGTGTTCAACAGGGGAAGAAATGCATCTCATTGCCCAAACTATATCTTGATCTCAAACAAACTGTCTATCTTACAAAAAGGAGGAAAAAATGTAAAATATCACCTACAAATAAATCCTCTAAATTAGCATGAACCACGTATCCAAGTTACAAGGAGTCTGAGTTGTGGGAGAAGTTCGGGGGCCTTTGAATGATACAAAATTGTTAATCCTGCTACAGCTGTTGCTGGCCTTTCTTTCACCTAACTAATAAGAGAACTCGTGGCCTCTAACTGAGATATACTTCTTCACCCAGATTGCAATATCCTCAGCACAGACCTGGGCTTGTGGGGTCTTGAGGAGCATGTCAAGTGTTGCAAACTCATGAACGGCATCCTTGTACTCAAGAACAGGTGCATCCACATTAACTTTCCTAAGCTCCTCTGAGTATGCAATGGCACGATCCCGCATCCAGTCATGTTCTGCCACCACTGTTAGTGTTGGAGGCATATGCTTTAGTGGTAGTTCCCTCCCCGGGATGAGAGGATTGGCCGCTGGATGATCCAGACTAAACTCCTCCTCAGGTAGGAAAAGCTTCCATGCAAGTAAGCACATGGCTTTGTCATAGAAATAAGAGTTTGCCAACTTTATCTCTGAATGAGTTGGAACACTCCCAATAAAGAAAGGGTACATCAAGACCTGTGCCACCACCTTAACAGGATCTAGACGTTTGCCCGCCTCCACAGCCTTCCGAGCCACATAGTCTGCGATGTTTGCTCCACAGCTTACACCTAGGAGAACACATCTGTTTCAGTAAAATCAAACCAAGTCAGTGGTTCTGTAAATAACCATGCATTCTTAGAAAGATGAGAAGGATGAAAAGATGGAAATACATTTCACAATTAACTATGCATTCTGGGGTAGCCTTTGTTAAAAAAGGCTTTTTGGTTGACCTTGTTTTGTGGTTGTTTGTCTTTGTTTTTGGTTCTTTCTCTTGGTCCTAGAGTAGGAGGGTCTGTTGGTGTAGCAGATGCAGCTGAAGCTGAAATTCGTGCCTTGTTGGCGGGCTTGAGATCTGCGGTGGATCTTAACAACACTGAATTGGTGGTGGAAGGTGACTACAAGATTGTAATCAGCTGGATGAAAAAACGCCAAGGAAGGTCCTTGGAGATTCAACTGCTTTTTAATGAGATTATGGAAATCAAGTCTATTTTAAAACATCACTTTAGATGGATTCCTAGAGAGCTGAATAGTGTGTGGCTGATGTTTTGGCCAAGTCAGGGGTGGGGAGGGACTTTTTGCATAGTGACTCTTCAGTGCAATTGTAAATTCTTGGAGGGTCTTTTTGCTTTTGGTTTTGGTCTTGTTTGATATTGCTGTACATCTCCTCATGTACATCCTTTCCCCCTGTTTTTCCCTTTTAAAAAAAGAGGGGCCTGTTGTACTCTCGAAACTTTTTTTATCAGCAACACAGAAACTCATTCATTAATTAATAAATACAACCAGAAGTTGTGAAACTATAACCAGGAAAAACACACAAAGGAGGTAAAATCCTTAAACCTCCACTGAGGCTTCTGACAAATATAAAACCTCTCCTCACCTTTCTAAAAGGAAACCAACCCGTTCTGTTAACTAACATGGAAAGACAAAAACCACCCGTAACTTATTAAGTTGTCAGTTGTTAGTATGTAACCACACGACATATGTAATGTTCTGTTTGTTTGCGGTGCAAATCTGAATTGGATATAAATTTTATACTTGGTTCAGTTTTGCATTCCTTTGTTTGCAACTACAATTTGCACATCTAACTAACATAAAATTTGCACCACCTTCCTCCTACCACAATTCTCTCTCATAAAGTGGGGAACACATCATCTTTCTTCCTGCCTCACTCCCAAACAAATTATCCTCCTCCTATCTCCATTACTTTTCATATGAAGTGGAGACTACTTCATTTTACTTCCCATTTTACTTCTCACAAACAAATAAGACAGAGTCAAATCTGAAGCAAAAGAAAACCAGAATTTACCCTCAGCCTATCTGCATTCCCATGCATTTACATCAGTGCAAATGAAATTTGCACTGCAAACAGAGCCTGAAGGATCTGCTTTCTTCTCAATATGAAGGAAATGAAAATGTCTATTGGATGTGCCACCTGTTGTCCAACATGGGCAATAGATTGACCAATGTGGCAGATCAAAATCATTGGCCAGAAAGGTCATGCATCAAATATCCCTACTGAAACCACTCCTCTTTAGCCACGTATCACCAAACAATTTCTGTCTAATGAAATTTTGAAATAGTAGACATCAAATTTTGGATTGTGTACCAACTTCTGAGTAGCACAACTCTATACGTTGCATATTTAGAGGGTGAACTTCAATATTAGTGGTTTTGATTCCGATAATCCAATACTATTTTTTTTTTTTGAAAAGGTAAAGTAATTTTATTGAATATTGAAAGAAGCTACAGACATAGTCAGTCCACAAGGGGACTGGCCAGAAAACAACAAGCCAACCAGACCTGGATTCAATTGATCTAGACCCAATATGTAAGAATCCAATCCTATCCATTTACATTAAGACAATATGATCCAAGCCAACCAGACCTGAATTTAAAACTATCTTATTTATTAAAATTAATAGATTTTCCAGTACAGATATCTTGCCAAATTTAACTAAACTTCTAACATATACATATTTGTTTGTTGTATAATTTGTTAAAACATACCACTTTACATGTTTTAAAGTATGGTATAAAGTATATTCTAGAAGTGTCCATGTAATATCCAGCATCATATCCAAAACCAATATGCTAGGCATGCACCGTTATCCAGGTATCATAGCATTCCATTCCAATGAGAATATGGTACATAAGATAATCAAAATACCTGCATGCCCCCCACAAGATTGGCAGACAACACTCACAACAGGATCTATACAACTTCTCTTATCCAAGAAGGAAAAACATATGAAAACCCTGCTTCAACTTCCAATATTTAAGGACTTCCACAAAATATGCACTTTCTAATGTTTATGACCTCTTGTGCACAAGCATCTCTCTACACATTCCAAGAGATTTCTAATTTTCTTAATAACATAAAAATATGTTCAGAAAAATCTAGTAAACAAGGTCCCATGCATGCTCAAGTCAAGATAGGACGATAGTCCAGAATGCTTCGGCACACTATGATGAGAAATGTTAAATATATAATGTACTAATGAACCATGGAAAGCATTACAAAAACATCATTCACTACGAATAAATTTAGAATATTTTTGATAAGAAAATAAATTTAGAATATAATGTTACTTGAAAGTTGCTGCAGTTCCAGTTTTCTTCATAAACGGAGTAAAGTTTAAATTGCAAGGGTTTATCATTCACAAATTAAAAATCCACTTATCTCGATATAAAAGGGCCTTGACCTTTTAAATGTGAATGACATTGTATTTTGATAACTGAAAGGCTGAAAGGCTTAGTAGCAGCAATAATCTCTCTTTCTATTCTTCCCAATTACATTTCATCACAATACGTTACTCTTTATGAAGCATAGTTTGATTGACAGAAACAAATAAAATTCACCTAAGACAAAACACTCAGGAACTTAAGTCCAGACAATTAAGAACCAAAAGAAGTCTCACATCACATCCAAACCAATGTCAGGAATCAGTTTGTCACTCCACAAATTCAAAACCAAACGATAGGTTTCCTTATGTCATCAAAGCATGTAGCGTCATTGAAGCAAATGCACGGAGATTTTATCAAAGCTTCAAAAATTAAATGCAGAGAAAGAAAGGTGGATCAGAATGGAACCTGGAAGGATCTCCATGGGCAGCCAACCAAGGCTCCACCATTGATGCCCCAAATGTATCAGTAATGTGCAGATAGATATCAGATCTCCTGAGATCCGAACCGCCACCACCCCGTGTGCTACCAAGAAACTTACTACACTCCGCCAGATTTGCCTGCTTCCCTAACCAGTTCAAAACTTTCAACCCGTCCTCAAATGCAGCCGGATAACGATTCTCTGGCGCAAGCCTATAGCCGACGGCGATGACAATTACATCACACAACTTGGCGATCCGTCTACAAAAGTAATCATTGGCCGTGGAATCTTTACTCCCCGCAACAAATCCGCCACCGTGAAATTGCAGCATGATAGGCAACTTCCGACAGGTCTGGTGGTCATTCTCTAGGGACGGGGAGTAACCTCTATAAGAAGCAGTCTCATGCTTAGAATTCAAGCTCCCAGCATCGATGCTGCTACTATAGCTGTTCCTACGATTCGGGTAATAGGTTTTGGGCGTCCCAGGAACGCCATAGCTGCTACGACGAAGGTTCTGGAGGTTGGGATTTGCACCGAGAGCGGCAGATGTCGAATCGAGGTCTGACGATCTGCAAGAGGTCCTAGCCCTAGCCCTAGAATTGCAATGAGATTCAGAATCAGCGGCGGCGAGGCAGGTGTCGGGGAGGAAAATTCGAACGGAGAGGGAGGTGAAGGCATCTATGTGTATGTCCTTGGTGGCAACGCCATCGGTAAAGGAAGGATTAGCAGCGGCGACGGGGTCTTCAGGTCGGGACGTGACGCCGAAAGGATTGTTATCATCAAATGTACTTTGAGTTCGTTTCTGCAAACGGTGTTTCAGTAGGAATTTAAAGAATACACTGTAGAGCTTTACAGCAACGCTTGGCATTTCTTTCTCTCTCTCTCTCCCCTCTCTGTTGCTTGCAGAAGCCAGAGTGCAGACAGGAGAGAGATACAATTTACGAATTACAATTATCTTCTTCTTCTTCTCCTCCGAGGTTACATTTATGGCAATGAAAACAGATTTTGTTTTTCAAACAAGATGAAGATGGTGGAGACCGGTTCAATTCAATATTTGTCAATGGCGTGCGGAGGAACTGCAAAGGAGAGAGAGACAAGAAATGGTTTCGATTTTTATTAAATCGAAAGGGATGGGTCTCTCCTCTCTCGACTCTGTTTCTCGATCAGACAGGACAATGGATTGTACAGTCGTGGCGGGCTTACTAATATGCGCAGTTGAAAAACACTTGGAGCCGTGTCGAGGTTCATTCGTAATCGTTATCCTTCCTTCACTCCTTTTAAGTTTTCAGTTCTCACCACTCGCTGGTTGATAAAAACAATTGCATCTAGAATCTCAGCTAATATGCGCAAGGTGCATTTAGTATGGTCACGAGATTAATTAATGACAACCGAAATTGATTTCTTTTTTGTGTAATCAGCAATCGAAATTGATTAATACTTGGGAAGTGAGCCCAACACGACAACCATGTTTCGAAAAGGCCCAGCAGAATCTAGATCCCCATTGGATAGGGCGATGATATTCCAATCCAACGGAGGCAAACACGATCGGAAATTTGTAAATTACTTCGATCTATAATACTTATATATTTGAACAAGCCCAGGAAGATACTTGCCTTGAGGCCTCACGTCAATACGATCATTCCAATTCAAATTCATTGAGGCTGCTACTTTGACCTCTCTCTCTCTCTCCATTTTATCAATCTCTGTTGTTTGCATGTGCCACCCACCCAATTGGTTATCAAATAGAAATAGAAATACTGGAGTGCTGATTGGCTGTACGTTTTTTTGTGTATAAACCAATACGAGTGGTAGAGGTAGAGCCCCTGGATTAATCTGGACCATTAATTGATGTAGAAGGAAGAATTTATATGTTGAAAGTTGAAACCAGGGTATCATAATGGGAGAGGAGAGGGACGGGGGACCCCACCAATCCACCATCAAAAAGCGACAAACAGGAATCACATGGCAGCCAAATTGTACGATACACATCTGGAGACAAGGACGGCTGACACACATTCTCGTGAATGCTTTGGTGATGAAGCTTTTATTTATCATGATCTTGGGAAATCTGAAACCGGATCAGACTTCAGGTCAGCCATTTGTAAATTCAACCGAGGTGGATGTAAAATACCAAAATACTGTTTGGTTGAAATATTTTTCATACATTTAATGAAATATCATAAAAGCTAAAAATTTGTTTGGTAACGTGAAGTAAATATGTGTTATGTATATGTAAATATCTTGTGTGTGGGCCAACAAACATTTTATTTAACACATGGGACCTATATATATTTTCTAAAATAGCCCCATATACCATTGGTGGATATATATATGGGGTTGGCATGCATTTTATAAGATGGGCCTGACATACCACCGGTGGCATGCATGTGGGGTCCATGTGGGGTCATGTACATAGAGTCTACATACATTTTGTAAGGTGGGTCATTGGTGGACATGTGTGTGGGATCCACATACTATTTGTGGACATGTATGCGGGATCTATGTGTAGACATGTATGTGGGGCCCACAAATATTTTACAAGGTGGGCCCGACATACCATTTGTGGACATGTATGCAGGATCCATGTGTGGACATGTATGCGGGGCCTACATTACATTTTATAAGGTGGGCCTCACATACCATTGGTGGGCATGCATGTGGGTTTATGTGTGGATATGTATGTGGGGCCCATATATTTTACAAGGTGGGCCCCACATACCATTGGTAGGTCTCACTTATAGATTCAAATAGTTTTTTTTTTGTGAAAAAGATAACTCACTTTCTTCCAAGTATGTGCATCGTGCCACACATTCGAAGAAAACGGGGCGCTAAAAGATTGTAAAATCTTCATTTGAAGCTTTCTGAAAAAGCCCAAATTCGAACCATTGACATCTTTTATGAATTTTAACTTTTTTTCTAATAAATCTTTTCATTACCAAACAAAAAAAAACCTAGAATTCAAGCTTTCGAACTTCTAAACAGCCCAAAACCTGCATAGATAGTATGCATGTGTCCCATAATTAGATCCGGTTAACGGATATTCATATTCGATCCGTTTTTATAATTTGGATTGAATATGGGTCCGTCCTTAGTTGATCCCACCTAACAAATTCTAACTTCATCGTAAATTTTGTAACAATGATAAAGGATGAGAACATTAATTGTACTTTAAATATCGCTATTCCCGATATATAGCTGGATGCATGTGGCCACTAAATGTATCGTGTTCAGCAGATGCAAATTCGTTTTAAGTGGAGTATTGAAAGGTTTATTCTAAAGTAGAGATGAATTTCTTTTGCTTAATATTAACCAATGGAGGTGGGGGCAGGTGACAGGTGACCATCTCGGGTGATTTTGAGGTCACTAGTCACCAATAACCATATTTAGCTGTTTCTCTCTATTATTTTATTTTTGTGTGAAAATGGCTTATCACCTTGTTTTTTTTTTTTTTAAATTACGGGCTAAATTCATTAAGAATGCTCAGAATTTCAAATATAATTCATAGGAGTACAATCAGCAAACAAAAAAAATACAGATGGAAACGCCAAAAGGAGGATACCGACTTCCAACAGCCACAAGAAACTCCCGAAAACAGGGATAAATATATAAAAAATTGCCAAAATCACCCCTTCTAAGGCAATCACAAGTTCACAACTAAAACTTCAAACTGGAAAGGTAAAGGAGAGAGCCAACCATTGTTGGACGTAGCAGTTATTTTACAAAAGTAAACTCCTTCCAAGACAAACCGTCCCTAGGCATGAGGCAATAAAAAGGCCACGTCCCCATTAAAAGAAGATGGACCAAAAATAGTGTCAAAAAATGGTTCCTCCAATAACTGAAATGCCGGATAGCGCCGGAGACTGAACAGAAACGCTTGGGCTGCACCGGAAAAAAAATGCCAGAACAAAGAACAATCCTCCGCACTGAAGAACAACTCACTGGAATACACCAAACCAGAAAGCATCCCGACGAGGAAGAGGATACTCCTAAACAAATGTCAATAATAAAGCATCCACAAATTTCTTTCTACAACAGACATCACCGTTCAGAGTGATTTTAGTAACAATAACATCTTCAGCCTTCATGAAGATAAAGCCAACGAAGAACAAGTTGGAGAGGATGAACCACTTCTCGGAACAAAAGAAAACACACAAAAAAAAAAACAAATAAAACAATAAAGAAAGAACACCATATCTATCCAAAACCTATTGTAATAGAGGAAAAACTCGCATCAATCGATGCAAGAGGGATATTCGCATCAGGCGGTGCGAGAGGGAGACCCCTCCCAGACAGGGAGGAGTTTTTGAATCGACTGGAAAACTCTTTGTCGCACGCAAAGACTCTCAGTGAAAAACTCGCTTGGTGGAGAGAGAATGGAATTTTTGGCATCATCTTGCTTTTTACTTGGTTGCAGGCAAGGTTCAAAGTATTGATACGTATCGACTGATCTGTATCATGCCGGTGGCTTCTCGATACGCCCCTACAGGGGTTGTATCGGGCCAGCCACTGGTTCAGAGGGTAGTCGGGCCTTAAACCAGCCCCTCTGAACCAGTTTCAGAAAAAATAAGTAAAACAAAAAAAAAGCACCGATACAAGTAGTGTATCGACCAGTGTTAATACTTTGAACCTTGGTTACAGGGTTCATGGGAATTATATTAATAAAAGAAGTATTTCACCAAAGTCCAAATCAATGTTTAGAAAATGATCCCAAAATATAATTGTTCTGGTCATCAGTTTCAAGGTTGACGGTTCGATTGTCTGGTCCGAATGGATGGCTTGTTCTAACAAAAAATTAAAATAAAAAATCATTAAAATAAAAAATGGCTAAAAACTGTTGAATAGGTCAAATGGGTCAATGGTTCGATTGCCTAAGTCAATAAGCCATTGATTAGTTCAACAATTTTTTACTAAGAACCGATTGCCTAGATGGTTCTCGGGCCGAATGGTCCAACCGTCCGGATCAACAACAGTTTGAAAACCATGGTCCAAATCATGTTCAAATACAACAAAAGCAATGCATTTAAAATGGTAATTACTAATTAGCAATTAGTAATTACTAATTAGTAATTACTAATTAGGGTTTATTTTCTTTTTTGCATCAATCGTTGAAGTGGGTTAAGATCCAATGGTGGGTATGGTCTCCTTAGGAAGGAAGTACTCTTTGCATGACATAGTAAAAGTATAGTTCTTTTTACATGTAGTGAAAGAGAAAAATAGCAACTTTGGAAAAGAGTGTTTTTTTTTTACTAAGAAATGTCTAAATTAAAAAGAAAAAAAGGAGAACAAATGTACAAAAGCCAAGGATTGATTTGAGTTGTAATCAAGCGAATATTACACTATTTCTGAATGTTTTTTAAAGGGTAAGCTAGCGGAGGGGCCTGCGAAAGCAGGGGTCGGATTAGAATTGTAACATTGCTATTTGCTACATTAAGAAAAAAATAATGGTTTCTTAATAAGAAACTTAGAATTATAAGTATTAAATCTTGAAACTCATACAAAGACTTAAAAGAGATCATCATGTGCTTGTTTTTTAAATATTGATTCAATAAAGCATCTTATATAAAATAACACGATCATACACTGATAGTTCTGAGTTCTACTTCATAGATGTCCTTTGTTTCACATCAAGAACTCCCAGTTGATCCGGACGGTAGGACTGTTCGGCCCAGGAACCGTATAGGCAACCGATTCCGTTTTACCCCAAATCCGATCCATGGCCAAAAAGCATTGAATCAGTCAACGACCCGTTCACCTAGGCGGTCGAACCGTTGACCCGTTCAATGGTTTTTGGCCATTTTCATTTTTAATTATTTTTTTATTTTTGTTGTATGAATGGGCCATCCGTTCGAACCAGATGGTTGAACTGTCGACTTGAAAACCGGTGGCCAGAACGGTTCTGTTTCTAGGTCATTTTTTCTAGATCAATAATTAGACGAAATAACTTTGTAGTCATAGTCATGGGAAGGGTGAACATTGCAAGGGATTCCAAAACCTTGAAAGATAAATCCAAAGTGACATTAAACACAAAAAAAAAGACGGTAAATCCACCAAGAGACGAAGCTAAACATGCATGCAATCAAGAAAGAGACAAAGCAGATTGTCTTGTAAGAAAATAACAAAAAAAAAACATTACACAAGAAAACCCGTTGACCCGTTCAATGGTTTTTGGCCATTTTTTATTTTTTTAATTGGGAACTGTCCAGGCAACCGATTCTATTTTATCCCAATCCCAGTCCTTGGCTAAAAACCATTGAATCGGTCAACGACCCATTGTCCCGGGTGGTCAAACCGTCGACTCGTTGACCGTTCAATGTTTTTGACCATTTTTTATTTTTAATTTTTATTGTCAGAACGGGTCATCCACTCGAACCGGACGGTCGAACCATCGACCTAAAAATCAGTGGCCAAGACGGTTCCATTTTCGGGTCGTATGAGTCACACACTCGAATGACATAACACGCATGCTACTGCTTAATGGACCTCACACACAATTTTTTGCCTGTAATTTTTGTTGTCAAAATAGGTCGTCCATTCAAACCGGACCGTCAAACTACCGATCCAAAAATCAGTGACTAGAACAATTCAGAATGGGTTGTTGATTTACGTCGCTTCCAAACGCATCCTAGGATACTAAAGTGAGACTGGACCCAAAATACAAGGTACTAATCTACAATTTTCGTTTGCTTTAGTTTATTACAGGTAAAATTGTATAATCTCATAATAAGATCCATATTACAAGAATTTGTTTGCATCAGCTTTATATATTACAAGAATTATCTACGAACTTGATGCATAGATAAATATAATTACAAGAATTAAAAGATCTATTTCTTAGGGTGACTCTTGGTTAAATTCATTCATTACGAGGGTTCAAATCTTGGAAACAGCATCTATGAATGTGCAAAGGTAAGGAATGATTCTGTTGAATGCCTAGCAAATCGACATCAAACCTGGTGAAACCATCTAGTAGTTGTGGCTGCGTCCCAACTCCCAATGTGTAGAGCAATTTCTAAGTTTCTTATCCTGGTTGCAACGAAGACTTGGGATCAAATCCTGCTGTCAGCCTGTCACCATGATAGGAGGGTTATTTATCAATATCTATGATTTTATTTTTAACACAAAGATGCTTTAAAAGATTGTTGAAAGGATTAATTAAATATAATCCAACGCTTGAATGCCATTAATGAATTCAACCATGTACCGAAAAGGCATGATACTTAAAAGAAAACAATAAGACTAATAACCAATGAATTCAAATCAGACCTCCACAAGATTATTTTCGGGAATGTCCTACAGCATATTTCGCCGTGTATTAAAAACATCTCTCAATGATAATATCAAAAATGATGATATCGTCATCAAAAAATATTTTCAATACATGATAAAGGATATGCTGTGGGACGTTATGGGGGGCTGATTTGATCTCATAACTAATAGGGGTTAGGGTTATGATTGGTTAAATTTCTTGGACATCATATCCTTCTAACATCATAAAAATTGCCATAATTATAATGAGGGGGAAGGAATTGACTATCTAGAAGAAAATAGAGTCAATTTTTTAAGTTGTATGAATTGGCCAAGCCCAAAGTCGAATTCTTCATAAACTACTTCCTTCAAGTTGACCAGGAGGTTTGGTTGGAGGAATAGATTTGTTGAATTTTGACGTTTTTTTTTTTTTTTTTAATTTCCACATCAATTGAATTTTTTAATTGTGTAGAAAATCCCATTTGCCAAGAATGATTGATTGCTGAAAAATCAGTTCATTTACGGTGATGTTTTTGAGTAATCAGCCATGACCACATCATCCTCCATAGAGTCAAAATGAACCGAGAAGAATGTCATCTGCATGGCTTGTCGGGTGTCACGATGACTACTTCCATTGGTGGTATATTATCAAAGTGGGTCCTACAAACCAACATCTCATTTCTCATCCAAACGAGCTTTTGGATACCAATGTTTGATCATTAGCCACGAATACGACACACCTTGTGGGGAAACCGTGCACGGTTCATACTGAAACAACCTTTCATCTTTCTTCTAAATTCTACAAATAATGGAGAGAGAGATAGTCCGGATCAACTGCCAACAAATCCTTTGTCCCTTTATCAACATGATCTCACACTGTACATCTCCTATTCATACATGATGGGTCCTAGTTTTATGGTGAGATGTGCGTGTGAGATCAATTTGGTAGAGGGTTGGAATGTGTTTTATTGGCAGAAAATCACAATTCAGTCGTAGAAGCAAATCCTTAGATCATCAATATATAATCTTTTTCTTTCTTTCTCGTGAAACAGCCGTTAAGCGAAGAAAGCTCTCTCTTGCTTTGCACACAAAACCTCCTAATACAAGAAAAATCAAACCAACCAACCTCTTTATAAACATGCTCCCTCCCACCCAGTTCCTGGCCACCACCACCTCAACCTCACCCCATGGCCCTGACGTGGTTTGCATTTGTGGCCATATTCTGCTTTCTTCATCTTCCATCCTCTGCATCCCACCGTGATGTAGTCCTTGGGGTTGTTGATGCAGATGTCCAGTCCGAGAGGGCTCTCTTCGGTTTGTATAAGAGATGGCTTGCAATCCATCGACCCAACTACGTCAATTTTGGAGAGACAGGCACCAACCAGAATGCATTGCTCAGGAGATTCGATATCTTCAAGAACAATGCTCAGTTCATCTATGCAAGTAATAAAAGAACTAATGTTACTTACACTCTTGGGCTCAACAAATTTGCCGACTTGAGCAATGAAGAGTTTCGAACAATCTATACAGGATCAATACCCAAAAGAATCAAACAGCAAGGTGGTGAGGCCGGTGAGAAAAGCTTCATGTATGAGAATGTAACACGACCGTTGCGATTTTCTGTAGATTGGAGGCGGAGAGGAGCTGTCACCGGAGTCAAAGACCAAGGTCCATGCGGTGGGTTGCATATACTTGTTTTCTTTTTATCCTTTCTAAATTGCAGATTGCGCCATTCATTTCTCGGTTGTTCTAGCTTTGTAGTGAATAGAAATTTGACAGCTTTTCTTTGCAAATGTAAAAAAATATCATAGGGAGCTGCTGGGCTTTCTCCACAGTAGCGGCAGTTGAAGGAATTAATCAAATCAGATCAGGAAAGTTGACGTCTTTATCAGAACAAGAACTGGTTGACTGCGACATCAAAATAAACCAAGGGTGTAATGGCGGGTTAATGGACTATGCTTTCCAATTCATTGTTGAGAATGGTGGAATCAGCAGCGAAGGCGATTATCCATATACCGCTACCGACAACCAATGTGACCTCACGAAGGTATTTTTTATGCTTTCAGAACAATTTGCCTTTAAATTTATTCACAATTTCCATGGGCAAACGTTGTATTTTAGGAACACTGTTTTTCCATGCACTGGTTATTCATTCGCATATCACTTTTCCTTTTGGCAGAAAAATTTACATTCGGTTGTCATAGATGGTTATGAAGATGTTCCTGCCAATAGTACTGATGCTCTATTGAGAGCAGTCTCTCATCAGCCTGTTTCAGTTGCGATTGAAGCTGGAGGATTTGAGCTTCAGTTTTACTGGAAAGTAAGCTTCCTTATCCTCGTTCATCCCACCCACTATAAAATCAATAAACAAGCATGCGCCTGGCCTCTACAAGCAAACCGCTGATTGAGCAAATTTCCATGCAGGGTGTGTTCAGTGGGGCATGCGGAACAGATCTGGATCATGGGGTTGCAGTTGTAGGATACGGAGAGACAAGAAATGGGGTCAAGTACTGGATAGTGAAGAACTCATGGGGATCTGACTGGGGGGAGAAAGGCTACATCAAGATGAAAATGAGTGAAGCAAAGGAAGGATTGTGTGGGATAAACATGATGCCATCCTATCCAGTCAAATTCACACCCAATCCTTCAGCTGCCAAAACAAGTGATCCCCTCATCCACCAGCCCCTTGGAAGAAAGTCTGGGCAGCCCCTTGCATCGTAACTCCATGAAAAACTGAGCTGCTGATGGCAACGGGCAATTACTGTACATTTATTTTTTTTTTCATCAATCAACAGCGTTCATGTTTAATTGGTGGACAATTGACAAATATTCCTATTTGAACTGACTTGGATTTATAAGGATGTTGAATTCCATGCCAAGCAACGGTTCCATTCATAAAGCAACCAAAAAAATGCAAGGGCAATACATTTAAATAAATGAAGATTGAGTATTCATCAACACTCAGGAACCAATTGAAGCCAAGTATGTAATGCTAGGTAAATAAAAATACCTGTCACTTGAAGCCCCTCTATGCCACCCTTCAGAATTGACTATAGAAAGTACACAGATACCAGCCGATTCACTTTATGACTGAAAAGCAGTTTCCTGTGTGGTTTGTTCACATATATACAGTCCCCGCCTAAAAACCACAAGCTGGGGCCAGTATGTTCCCTGTACAGTGGAGTTCTTGGTTCTATGGGACCTGACAACCCAAAACAATCAGAACAGGGGTGAGCAACTAAAAGAATGAATAACGGCATTGGGCATTCCACCTCTTGAAGCATTTTTACCCATTTCCTGATTCAACATCCATTTGAAAATTTAGAGTGGTGGAACTCTCTCTCTATCTACCCCAAAGATGCATGAGGAGGTGTCACACGGCCAACAAGCACAGCTTCATTGCTTGCAGCTTTTGATGCAGCAATCTCTTCCAAACGTTTCCATGTTGATTCTCGTTTTGCTTTGAGATCTTTTTCTTTTGTTTCATCATCCTGAAACTTGAGAAGGCACTCCTCGAACAGCTCCGGATCAAGATCAGAGAAGATCTTGCGGACATTTAATGTCAAGCTCTGAACTGCCTGGTTCCAGTGGTTTCTAGCATTTCTTTCCAAGGCAGGGAAGATGATGGGCAGTATAACTTTGCGATTTTGTTTGATCAGGTTCTCAATGTGATCATTATTCCACAAGAACAAAGCCCTTTCTGCCACCTGCAACAAAGGCATCAGTTACATCATGTGTGCTTCAATAGCTTCTCACAGAAACAATCATTTCCCACAGTAAAAACTTTACCTTGAAGAAACTGTCTTGCAGGTGATAGTGGAAGGTATATGCTTTATAATCACAATATAATGAGATAAAAAATAAAAAAGTATAATTTGGCTTGGTTAATTTTTTTTTTTACAGTGAAAGCAAAATAAGTGGTAAGATGGAAGGTGTAGGGATGAGTGGTAATACTAGGAGAAACACATTATCAAATGACTATCGAGTACAGATAATCTTTAGGGTTAGCACCAATAGTTTAGCAATGAGAAATGAATATGAAAAATGTCCTAGGTTGGGACTGGAGGAGCAGGTTTCACACAACAGCTACCAGCTACACAACCAGTACATGACTGGTGATAATGATAATGACGAAGACAATATATGGTACTAAACAATCCGATTGCTATGGTAATTTCACATTGTCAGTGGAAAATTGTCCCTCCTGCCCCTCTCCCACATACATAGCATTTATCTGAAATGTCAAAGTAGATAACTTGATGGCATTTTAAAGATATGGATGTCATGGAAAGCAAAATCTTTCCTAACATTGTGAATATAAGCGAGCATAATATGGCAAGCCCCCTAAAGATCCAGGGCTGACACATATAATATTGTGCACATACCAATAATGTGTTTTGACATATCAGAATCAAAAATATGTAGGGAGAAATGTCCATTACTCCACATATATATATATATATATATTCGATAATTCCAAAATTCCATATGTTGTAGCATAATATGCGTTAATGTACTCGATATGAAATGTCCATGGTGTTAATGGATAAAATAATATAATGAAAATAAACGCTATACCATTAAAATAATATGTTAAAGTAGATAATACCGTGGCATTTTGAAGATATGAATGTCATAGAAAGTAAAACCTTTGCCAACATTGTGAATATAAATGTGCACAATATTAAACATGGCAATCCCCTGAAACAATAACAGAATCGAATCAATTGATACATATCATAATATTGTGCACATTATTATGTACATTTTTTTGGCTTTATATAGTATACATTACAAGGGACTAGGATGGGGACAGAGCAAGGTGCATGTGAGGCCCACTGGCCATACCACAGAGAGTCTGCAGTTCCACAGGCTTGACCCAACACTTCCATATGAGAAACTTACATAGGTGAATTGTCAAAACCACATTTCATCTGAAATACTACTACTGGGAGACTTCAAAAACAAAAAGCAAGAGTTGATAATTTCCTATTAAGGGGTAAATAATAAAAAAATGCTTCATTCTGTGAATACATAAAGTAAGAAGGTTTTCCACGCCTAATGTTATACCCCAGATACTTTTCAGACCTGGCTGAAAGTCTAAAATATCCCTAATATTTTTAATAATGACATATTATACCCCCATTTAAACCCAATAGAAGCCCATTCGATATGTTGCCATCGAATGAGAAGGGTAGATGGCGATGGAGAACTCACCTAAAGAATGTTAATCGAGGTCTCTACACCAATGAAGCATGTTGTCGGTTCCGTCCTCATGTCTCTCTCTCTCTCTCTCACAGCAGCGGCGGCCAACACCCATGTCTTTAGCCAGTTGAGCTGTTTGATCGAATCCACTGCAACTCTCAGCCGTTCGATTCCCCCCCCCCTCTCTCTCTCAGTAGTAGCCGTTAGAATCCATTGTAACTCTCAGTCGTTCGGTTTCCCTCTCTCTCTCTCTCTCTCTCCCCCCTCCACTCCCGACCACTGTCGTCATCTCCGCCCCATTCTGTGCATTTGCAACTAATGTAAAACAAAACACCGCTACAACTGATGTAAAATTAATTATTAAATATTTTATTTTTTATTAATTATTAAATAGATTAATAGTTTTTAAGATATTAATTTGCTAATTATTAAATATTTTTTAATTGCTTCATAAATTTTATTACTATTTTATTATTATTTTAATTATTAATAATTTTTTTAATTTATAAATTTATATGTACTTTCCAATTTTATTCTTATTTCAATAAATTATTTTTATTTTTATAATTTTTAGTTGAATTAATTATTAATTATTTTAATAGTTTTAAGATATTAATTTGCTAATTATTAAATTTTTTTCATTGCTTCAGATGTTTAGGCATTGATCCAACACAAACAACCTTGTCTATTCAGAGCCTCTAAAAAGTAGAAAAGCATCTATACGTTTCTTTTCAGATTTCAGACATAAATAATATCTTTTTAACTTTTCAGACTTCAGATTTCAGATTTATCAAACGCCACCTTAGTGACACTTTGACCCCTTTATCTGCCATGCATGAACTGATGTCATATTGTCTGTTGACAAGAGTAAGCTAGAAATCAAATGACATTTTTATCTTCTCTTCTTCCATTATATAGTCCACTATGGATATAGTTTTAAAACATGGAGGTGTGATGTGAGGTGTTCCACAACCTGGAAACATGTGGTGTAGTCCAGAATGCAAGGAACGCAAGCCTCCTCAAGAGGAGTGTGCCTCAGAGGGTGTAAGCCTCGTGCATGAGGCATATCAGCATATGCCTCAGAGGCATCAATGCTGATATGCCGGATTCATGCAGCTGACCCCATATAGTTCAGATGGGGCATGGATGATGGTGATGATGAAGGAAAAAAAAAAAAAAAAGAACACATCCAACCACAAAATTAAAGACAACCAACTATAAGCATATCACGTCTATGGCCAAGGCAAATAAATTTACTCCACCTGTTCTGTAAAAATAAAAAACCAAATCATGTTCATGGAACTATTCCACAAAATATTTACAATAAATTAAAAAAGTGGAAAACTCAGAGAGCAACAGATAATGACAAATAAGACATCAGAAAGGTAAATGGACAATTATATTTGCATATCTAATTCTAATCTTAATGGAGGACATATGAAATATAATTCAGTGAATGTCTATGTCAAATTAATGAACATTATTTACAAAATAAAAAAAAAGCTAATGTTTTATGTCAATGTATAAATGCAATAGCATTACATTACATTAAAAAATAAAATACAAATCACATTTAAAATGTTGTTCCTCTATTTCACTCAAAATAGGGCCATATCTTTAATTAGAAATGAGTTATCAAATTCATTCTTATGAGTTGTTTGGACAAGCTTCTGTGCTTTGTAATGGAAACACATTGCCAAAATAGCACAAAATTTTTCTTTGCAAGGAACTCAAAGAAGTGTCGTGAGAGTAGCAACTAGCAAAAAAAAGTTCCTGTTTAAATCGCACCTTTTTCATTTGCAAAATAAAATAAATCTGAAGAAAAAGGTTTATGAACTACGTAAAAGTACTTCATTTTGATACCTTACCAAACTTTTTTTTTTATGAATCTTACCAAACTTGGAAGCCACTTATTATTATTATTATTTTGTGAATTGTAAAAAAAACATATTCCTAAAACTTATCCAGTTGACCCCTTACTACAAGAAACCAATGTACCTTTTGGTTTTCCCCTGGTTCTTTAAAAGACTTCAATTTGCAATAGTTAAGTCTTTTTTTACAGATGCAATCATTGCTCTCTTCATTATAAAGGCTTACACCACCTTTTGCATTGGCGGATATGGAAGCAAAGAAACAGAAGAATAATTGACATGAACAAGAGGAGTTTCAAGCATCTATGAGCCATCATGGATATTCTATCCTAGATTGGCTTTTGATTCTACTTAACTTCAAATGGATGAACAAGGCCTTTATGGGAGGAATTATTTGGGGTATTATTTGAAGCTGTTTATTGCATAGGGAGTTATCTTTTGCTTATGGGGGGGTTATCTTTTACAAGGCACCCTATTTTCTGTGCAATTCTTTTTCTGTTTAGTGATTAAAAAAAGAAATTTCAGGAAAGCTTTTCCACGGTGTTGTTTAGGGCAAATGAAAACTAACATCTACAGGGACAATATCTAGGCCTCCTTTTGCCTTTGTAGTTAAAAATGTACCTATTAGAAAATGGAATCCACTAGAATTTATAGGCTTGAAATGAAAGGTCAGTCCCAACTGCAATAGGATACCTTGTATTTGTTAACTAATCATTTTTGGGCTACTTTTTTGCCAGTAAAAAAGATGTAGACATGGAAGAATGAATTCCTCATGTGGCAATTGGCACTTTTGGATCATATCATACCATATGTCCAAAGAGATGCATATAACAAGAAGAAAGAAAAATAGAAAAACGGCGGGTTGCAATATAAATTTTTTATTTTCAGTTTTACTTCATTATTTAAATTTTTAGTCTACAATCCATAGTAAGTTGTGACTCAGTTGCTTATAGTGAATTAACATTTACTTTTTGTTTGTAAATCCAAATTTTCTATCGTTAGAAGGCTGTGAGAAGTTTCATGGTTTTTGTTACTTTATTAGCTCTAGTCCATCTATTTTGGAGTATATAAGTTCCTTAATTTATTGAGTTAGCTTAGAAACAGCAATGATTTGACATCCAAAATTAGCCAAATTCACAATACCCACAACAATCATGGAGAGACAAGTGTTGGTGCACTTACAACATTAAGGTTGTGTTTGGTTTGAAGGAAAAAGTAGGGAAAGGAAGGGAAATATAGGGAAACCTTTACAAACCTTGTATAGGTTTCCCTTCATTTCCCTACCTTTTTCCTTCAAACTAAACATAGCCTAATAGAATCAGGAAATATATTTAAGCATATTCAATAAAAACGTAAGTGAATGTAAAATTCAACGTTGTGCCAACTGCAGATTATAGAGAATCCTCAAATAGGCAAGGTGTTTTCTTCTTTTATATTTCAATATATCATTGTAAACTGAGATAAACAAAAAAAAAAGGCAAAAATACAAATCAAAGCAGGGCAATATGCAAAACATATGAATGCTTTAGCTACAGATCACTAATACCATAGTTCTCATCATCTGATTGCAGAAGATGATGAGATAGGACACTTTCTTTTTCAATTGGAGAAAATGAAAAGTTGAAAACAAGTTTTCAGAACCATCATGAATTTGCAAAATGGAAATAAGTTTCCCCATTCATGATTTTGTTTTGTAAAAGGAAGCATGTCCTAAAAACTGAAATAAGGAAACCAGAAAATACAAAATGAGGAAACTTTGAAAAACTTAGTACCTGAAAATGTGAACTGCTCAAGCAACGAGAGATCTGGCAGAACAAGGGCACCATACAGCGTTGAAATTCTGGAGGCTGAGTTGCTTCTAAAACTTCCTCCAGCTCACCTAAGAACATAACCTCTTTTGAACTATTTGTAATCGGCCAATACTTTAATAAACCCCTTATAACAGTGTCGGCAAGCTTGCAGTCTTTCTCTACAAATTGTGTAATGCAGTATGATAATTGCTGATGGTACATGGGTATGCATTTTGGTTTGTGAAGGGGAATCAGTGCACGGACAAGGAACAGTTTGTGTTCTTCTTTCAGTGGTAGAGCAAATCCATTGATTATGCTTCCCAAAATCTCCAGAAGTTCAGCAATTCCATTATGTTTCTCAGTTTCAAAAATAAAAGTGTAGAAGATGTTATTGATGGCCTTCCTGATGAAAGGGCGATGTACCATAAATTTACCATAGATGCGGTGTAGGATTGTTTTTAAATACTCTCTTTCTCTGGGATCTTCAGAGTCAAAGAGATCCAGCAACCTGAGAACAAAAGAATGATCGATGTATCTCTTAGCCAACTTTGCATCAGTCTCAGGTGATGCAACAAACCTTAGGAGGAATTCATATACAATTTGCAAGTGAGGCCATGCAGGGTCCATTAAAGGCTCTTCCTCATCCAAATCAAAGGATTCTAAAGCCTTGTTCTCACGAGGTGGAGAAGTGAGTGCCCTAAACAAATTTGAAGATACCATTTTTATGATTTCCTGCATGACAGTTTCTGTGAATTTTCCATTTGCTGAAGTAACATAATCCACTAGCTCTAGCAATGTCTGCTTTTTGGTATCCTTTTCTTTCAGGTTCTTCGTCGGGTCAGTGAAGTCAAACACAACACAACACAAATTCAGCTTTTTGATAAACAAGTTTTGCTTCTCAGAGCTGGGCACGTCTCTAAAACCAGGTAATGCCTCATAAGAAGAAATAGCTGAGTTTCCATTTAACTTTGAATTCAGGACTTGAGATACCTTATTGCCATAATTTAATCCTGAAACTGGAGCAAAATTAGGGGGTGGAAGAGATATGCTTGGGTTCCCAGCCCGATTACTGATTAGATCATTGCTTCTTGAGCTAGTAGAAGCACTTGAAGAAGCAGCAGTGGTTCCCCCTGAGTCACGATTTTCGACTGGCTTTGGCTTCCGAGGGAGCCTACCAAGTATCTGCTTGATCATGATTGAGATATGGAAACAGACACTCCTACTGTTGAGCTCTCAAACCTACTATTTTCTGTGTCCGAAGCTCTTTCAAAGCAGATTACACTCCATCAACAAAGAGAAAATCTGTCTATTCTTCTTCTCTTCCCTAAAGCTCCTTCAAATGTATAAACCGATTATATACTAGTTCAAGCGGTAAAACTTCTAGCCCACCCTATAAGTCTCTTAGCATCTGAAAACCGGTATTGTTTCTTTGCTCTCCAGTTTCTCCAAATCAGGGGATACTCCCTTTCTCATCTGGAAGGAAAAATTGAACAGCTTCTGAAGATAAATCCCTTAGGTAGTGAACCATTTTAATCCAGAGTTCAAACAGAACCTGAAGTCTGACGAATCAGCCAAGAAGGAAACTCTTCTCTACAATTCTTTACCTCCTCAAAAGAAAATGACCCCTTTCCTGAAATCGATGAGGGAAAGATGACAATTTTTTTCTTAAAATCGGAAAGCTGTTGCACAAAACCACTTCAAACCCAAAGATCAGCGACAACTTTGAGTATTGAATCCACACCCCAGATGCTGCTGTCTTCTCAGCTCTTCCACTTAAAAGTAAAAGGCTAAGAATATTTCCCTCTTCTTTTTCCTTTCACAAATTAACAGCAATTCAGCTGGATCAAAACAAGACAAGATCCGGGTACGATCTAGAAGACCAAGATAACATTTTTCATCAAAAGTGACATAAGCAGAGTGAAAAAAGGATAATCAAGAAAAGAAAATGACGATAAAACAAAGCTAACAGTCAGATATACAAACAACAGACAAAACACAACGATTTTAAAGAAATAACTAAAAGGAAAGGAGAAAAAAAAAGGACTACATGCAAACCAAGATGAAACTAGGAACAGATGAGTGCGATTGATACTTACACAGAGCTCAGCTGGTCCTGATGAGGAATATGAACGACAAACAAGGAGAAGTTCTGGGTGTTGGGTCAGTGGTCGGAAACCGCAAAACCCACCAACTAAAAAAAGGTTGGACAGGCAGTAATCCCTTTCTTCTGTGCTGTAGTTGTTTTTGTTTGTTAGATTTTGTTTCTTCCTTTTTCTATTTCCGATTTTTTCTCATACACCTCTCTCTCTCTCTCTCTCTATTTTCTTCGGTCTACGTCTACTGTCTCGCTTGGGACCAGGGAGGAAAAATTAAGAAAGAAAACCGAATGGACGGAAACAGCCCTAAAAAAATCCGCGTTTAAAACTTCTGTTGAAAATACAAAAATGCTTATCCTTCTTTTTTCGTAACAAGTCTTTTGCTTTTCGCTTTCCACAATTCCACATGCTTTCTTTTCGCACTTTCTATCTGTTTATTTTACTATTTTTCTTAATCATGAAAATTAAGTAGCAAGTAATCTTTAATTAATACCATTGATTTATTAATAGTTGATTGAGTAATAATCCCCTGTTTTAAAGCTGCACGCTTAAACTCGGTATACCACCTGATGATTTCATCTACAGGGTCAATGGTCAGCAGGATCTGCGATCAGCGGTCCCTGTAAAGGTTGCACTTGGTTTAGTGTTCGAAGATGTGGCGCCCGTTCCAAGACAGTAACAGCTGGTTTAGATTTTAGAGAACCTAGATTGATGAGCCTTACCCTTATTACCACGGTAATTTAATTTCTACTGTGATAGTTCAAGATAGAGATAAGCTGGTTCAAGAAGGATCTAGTTCTAGGCATGCAAAAGCTTCTTTGTTTGGTTGGTAGTTTATTGGTAAAAAGTAAAAACTCCGGGCAAATGGAGCCAGTTGGTTCAACCAGTTGGACCAGAAACTAAACAAAGCTTCTTTCGTGTGCTTTACTGCCTATTATTAGTGGGGAACTCTAATTTGAAATATAAATATTTTAATAAAAAGCATTTATTATAGAATAAAAAGAAGGGCCCATTTGGCGTATCTTTCCGTACAGTCTTTCGGCAGTTTACAAATCGGGAAGACCAAAAATTGGTCTATTTTCGTTTGGCATGCGGAAGATCTAGCCGCCAAAAGATGGGACGCCGAAAAGATGCGTGAAGCCCACTTTAAGCTGATTTCGAGAAGCTCCAAATGAAGCTTCTTGCGTTTTCCGTGTTTTAATATCACACGGAAAGACCCAAAACGATGCATAGAAAGACACATGTCTACCAAACGGTCTTCGGGCTGCCTAGATCTTATGTCAAAAACATAATGCGTCTTTTGACTGTCAAAGCTACAAAAAGATTTTCTCAAAAAGGCTTGCCAAACGTGCCTAACGTAAAATTTACAATGCTTCCAAGAAGCTACCTTCACCGGTTCACCCAATTCCAACAGCCCAAGTAGGCCCATATTCCCAACTTACCTGGTTTTAGAATTTAAAGATCAAATTAGCCCCCACAACGTCCTACAGTACATCCCCGCCATGTATCAGAAACATCTTCCAATTATAATATCAGAAATAATGATATCATCGAAAGATGTTTCTAATACACAACAGGGATGTGATGTAGAACATTGTGGGGGACTGATTTGAACTCCTGATTTTAGTCGTCAAATTGTATAGAATCTGCAAATTGATATCAGATCCCCCCGAGTCCCCACACAACTACAAGCTGAACTCCATGAAACTGCATAAAAAAATATCCACAATACCTTGAACCATCAAGAATCTTCCTTCCATGGGTGAAAACTGAAAAGTATTCTGGTCTATACTATTCCATCTGCATAGCTTTATGTCTTATATTCTTTGAAAAAAAAAAGATTAAAAGAACAAAAAACCTGTTGAAAATTAATATAGCAAATCCAGATGATTCCTCCAAGGGGAACCCAATCCTTGGAAGTAGGGTTCACCATACAGGATCTATGTCAGCCATGTACTCTTCTATCGCACTTTTGTCACCCCATTTTAATTTCCTTCATTTATCCTTCCGGATAGACTCAGCGGTGAAAATGACACTCTAGACTCTACATGTAGCAGACCAAAATTACAGCATCGAATGACTCGAGTACACCTATTGCCACCTGGACTTCCGTTTATGTAAAAAGTAAAAACTCATAACCATTGCTTCGCAATCTATTCCAAACACCTGAAGAACATTTCCCTGAGTTATGAATTAAGAAACCATTTGATTGACAGTCAGAATTGGAAGGAAATCAAATCGGCATGGTATATTCTTAATCAGACAGGAATGAAATGAGAATTAAAATCAGTTATAATGTGATTTCATTCCCAAGGGAACGAGAGGGAATGACCATTCCCTCAAATGGGCAAATACCATTCCATCATGAATGAAAATGGGATTTCAATTCTATCCAACCAAACAGTTGGAATGGAATTGTCCATTCCGATTCTAATTCCATAAACAAAATATGCCCTAATTAATCCTTTTTTTATTAGTAAAGAGAACTAATTATTCCAGAAATACCAGATTTTGAATAGTAGGGGCATTTTAGTCATTTCGCCGGTGGTATTCTCATACTGTGATGCTGGTCAAAATTTCTCGATGGAAGAAGTCATCAATTAGGAATTTTGAAAAAACAATCCCTCATCGATCCCTACCCATCCGAATTCTACCCATCGTGTTCCCGCTTTTATATGGCACAAGGAAGGATCCGATGAATCAACGAGTCAAATGGAGTGTGCTGAACCAAGTGTGAAGTGTAGCCCATACCCAAGCCTAAACCCATTAGAATTTATTAAACCCCAACTAGTTGCGGACGGCATTGCCAATTTCTAAAGCTGCCATGAATTTATGAGGACACTGAGGCTGAAGTGGCTGAATTGAATGGCTTTATCTCTGTCTTTTAGTGCATAAAATAATTAAATAATAAATATAATAATCAACACAACTTCAGTTTCAGCCAATTTAGGAATCCTTTTTTTGGTCAAGAGTTCACATTTCACAACCTACTTAATAGCTTATTCAGGAAAAGGCAAAGAAATAAATAATTAAATAAATAGCTAAATTGTAAAAATTTACAGGAGAGGTAGGCTCTCTTGCAGGGCTTATTGCTAATAAAATCAAAAGAGGACAAAGATGCTACAAAATTTTGCTTACAGCCAGCGTGGTTGCCAGGAAAATACCGAAACCCTACCACAAACTATTTCTAGTTTTTCTCTCAATATAGGGTTGAATGGACGGGTCCCTTCCTAGAAAGTGAGCCAGAATCTCAACGGGGTCTTTAACTCCACCTGGGGCCAACACCTGCAAAATCTAACTATTGTTTCAGAATTTTCATTGCTCTCAACTTTTTAAATAATAAGCCCTGGAACTCCACAACTCAGAACCTTAAAAAAGTATATTCATAACTTACTGATTTTATTGCATATGCCAATGATTAATTAGAATAAGTTGATAATAAGAAAATTAAGGTCTCTGGAGTTATATCAAAGGTTCAGAAGTTAAGCCTGGTGAGAGACTAAGACTCGAGGAATTACAGCAGTGGAAAATTAGTATTGCGATGATTGTTGGATTCTAAGATCTGTTGATGCAGACTTTGGGATTTCAACAAGAAAACTTTTGCACTGTCAAAGGGATTAAGAGATGCAGAACTATTCCGAGAAAGTATACCAGCAACCAAACCCACACAGAAGTTTCAAAACAAGTATTATCTTCAACAATCAAAGGGAGAAATTCTCAAGAAAAAATATCGTTATGATTAGATTACCCAAGGAAACGGTACAAGGTCCCTATCTGGCTATCTCCCTCCCCACCAGACCCAACTATGTAGTCCCTTTACTTTCACAGGGCAGGCCAGGCTAGGCTTCAATTGAGATCCAACAGGATCAGGGACTCAGGGTCAGAGTGACCCTATCCATACTGAAACCAACAAGTTGCCTTGCCTGCCCTAAATGACCATTGAGTAACCTGACACTTACAAAACCAGAAATCAATTCGGCAAGGTCAATAACTTGTTTACCTTGTTTCGGAACTGAGCACCTACATACTGGTTCAAAATATCATCTTGGAACTTTGAGGCAAATATATCAGCTGCAAAAGCCTGTAGAGACAACATGAAGCATCAATGGCTATTGTAACCGATGACAGAAGTTCAGAATGCAAATGAAAGTATCTCAAGATCAACAACAATACAGACCTCACTCCAGATGCGACTGTAGCAAGCAGCTTCATAACCAATGGCAAAGCGTGGAAAACATGAGGCTGGATTGATTCCCTCTAACATTGGCAATCCTAGCATCACCTGTAAAATGGCTCTTTTATGCAAACAATAATAACAAGTCCTCTATAATTTCTAGCACACCATTCTTTACCTTTAAATGAAGGTGCTTGAATAATTCCACTGTGTCAACGTTTTCAGTGCAATGTATAATCTGATCAAAAAGACCTGATAAAATCACACACACAACTTTGAGCTACTTACAAATTGTACATGCTGCAAGCATATATTCATGACCTGATCAATCATAACCATGAAATATATCATCTGATGCTGAAGATAAAGATGATTAATTCCATTGTTATGCATATACACAGAAAAGATGAAAAGCATCAGTACAAGTATTAAGGGCATTTGTGCAACTTACAAACTTCTTAAGAAACAAAAAAGTATCCAACATTAACATTAAAACAGTACAACTTCTTGATGTAGGACCAGCTCAGTTCTAGTCCTTAGAGAATGTTGAATGGCCTTCTTGATCAGAGTTTTATGGCTGTCAATGGCTGCAATGGCTTCTTGAAGGAACAAGAGAGAAAATAGGGAGAGAAAGAAGAGAGAAATACCTGTAATCACTCACAGGGTGCCTAGAACCACTCTAGGGCAAGGGAATCACTCATCATAGCTAGCATAAGCTGAAGAAAACTCAATATGATTCATTGCCTTTGTGTAAAACGTCCATACATATTTATAGAATCTAACTCATAATAATCCGAGGAGTCAAACTGTTAGACTCATAATAGTCTTAGGAGTCAAACTGTTAGACTCAATAATCCTAGTAGGACTCAAACTAAGTTGTCATATCCTATTTCAATTCAAAGACTCAATAACTCTAATCCTACTTATGCAATGAATCTGAAACTTTAAACATAAACAAACTATAACTAGACAATCAAACCCTATTATTGGACCCTACAGAAAAATTATTAAATGGCAAAAATACCCTTGGTGTTCCATTTCAGTCCCAATCCCAAGTACCATCACTATGCCATATCAGGGCCTGTTGTAAGGCCTTCTTTCTAGAATAAGTTTTCAAGGGTGCTGATCGATTTCTATCACTTCTATTCACATGCAATTAAAATTACTAATTTATTATGATGTTCTTAAGGACATGTCTAGGTGATAAAGCTTGTACTTTTCCAATGACAAAAGAAAAAAGGCTTAGCTACAGAAACCGTTTATGTTAGACTTTTGCATGTTTTCTTTGTCAGGACACATTTTAGTGTTGTTTCTCATTCATATGCCAATTGCACAACTAAAATAGGTTCCTGTAAAGCTAGAGATACTTTTATATGTTAAAATAATGTATTATTTCAGAATACCAACTACTATCGGATGTATTATTCCAGTGTGTGCGTGTGTGTGTGTGTGCGTCTGTAAATGTATGTACTTCTGTGTATGGAGTAGGTATGCTAGTTGGACTATTTAAGGGTGAACAACCACAGAATCTTCCACTGAAAATTGGTATGGAGCGCAAAATAGACCATGTCAGTGTTTTAAAAGTGCAAGCGCAAAGAAAGCGCAAGGGCCAATTTGCGCCTGAAGCGCAAGGCGCAAAAATACAAAAAAAAAAAAAGCTAAAAAATCAAAGTGTCAGAAAATTCAAAAAATGCCAAAAAAATACTAAACCTAATGTTAATAAAAAAATACACTTAAATTTTAAAATAAATGTTTTAAAAAACTTATCATCTAAAATTAAAATACATAAAATATTATGTAAAACATGTTCAAATGAAAATTTAAAAATAAAAGCAAACATATAAATCATTTTCAAGCATGTAAAATCCACAATCTCTTTTTTTACTCAATTGCATTACTTCTAGTTAATGTGATGTAAAACATATTGCATTCTTGATTCTATGAGTCACCGTTGTACCACGCCCCTCGAAGCAAGACCGAACGAGTCCATGTGTGACCCTGTAGACCCATTTTACCTTGACCAAAATCATATTGCTCCTTCAGCCTGTTGAACTTTCACAAAAAAAAAAAAAAAAAGCATGTTGAACATGTCCCTCTCCTTTGCTTGATTACATTTTCCTATGTTGCTCAGACACAAACTGAACATAGAAACTTATTCTCCACAAAGATTCACAAACACAAAAGTAGCTTATCGATACACCTAGGGGTGATCATTTTCAGCCCGGCCCAGGCCAGAAATTCCAGACTTGGGCCTAGGTTTTGTGTTCAGGCCTGGGCTCGCATCAGGCCCGCAAATTTCAAGGCCAGGCCTGGGCCTAATACTTCAATGCTGGCCTGGGCCCGCCCCAACCTACATATTTATAAATATATAGTTTATAGATAATTTATGCATATGCATATACTTTGCTTTATGTTATATTTCATATATAAATATTATAAGATGAGGCATACAATGCATAGTATCATATGCATAATATTCTATATTATATATGTATAAAATAAATTTTATATGCATATTACATAACATAGTATTTTTTACATAAAAAGACAGGCCCAGGATATAGCCCTTATCACAGGTGAGGTGTGCTACAGAACTGATCTGTACTGGTTTCAGCCGTAGATTAGCAGTAAGGTTCAAAATATCGATACAGCCTGATACGCCAGTGGGGGCGTATCGGACTGTATTGGGGCTCGCTCCCCCTTTTTTTAGTTTTTTTAAACCTGGTTCAGAGGGGCCGGTTTAAGGCCTGTCTACCCCCTAAACCAGGTTAAACCCTGAAACACCCCCTGTAGGGGTGTATCGGGAAGCCCCCAATACGTATCGAAATTTCAACCCTTGATTAGCAGATAATAATAGCAGGAGAGAGAGAGAGAGAGAGAACAAAAGAGGAGAGAAAACTGGTTTGAACTAGAGAAGATGTCTTTCTCTAGTCGGCCAGGTATTATTTATATGTTTCTGATTAAAGAACACAAAGACACTTATGCCCCTAGATAAGTATGGGACATAGTACTTAAACCAGAACATAAAAGACATTACACCACATTCTTAATATAAAATGAAATAACCAAACTACCCCTATATAACCAACTCTAACAAGGTGCAACGCCCGGCCCGGCCCAATATGACCAAGACACATTGTTTTTCTTTTTACTTTTTCGTAATTTTATGGTTATTAGAGGGTCCCACAATGTATTTTAAAGTTCTCAAAAAACTTTTGTATCAATACATCCACCTATATCTGGGATTCTGGGTGCACTGATACGGATACAATACACCTAATATGGGTGGGGCTGTCAATGGACTGAAAGTCAGATACTCAATTTGACTCAGAATCCAATTATCCTGGATTTGGATGCTACAACTTGCATCCAATTAAGAATCAGATCGAATGTGGATTTAACCCCATCAAATCCAATTTAAATTTGAGTCCGATAAAAAAATATTATTTTATGTACATATGTAATATAATTATGTATATATATATATATATATATATATATATATTATGTATAGTTATATAAAATATATAATTGTTAAGCTTAATATTTTATATTTATGTACATTTATTATACATATATAAGTTAAAAATAACTAGGTTTTCTTAACTTTTTTTTCGAATATGATCCAAAATCCAACATGGTAACCGGATGCAGATGCAGCTATATCTGATCCGAATCCAATCTGCTTACAGCCCTAGAGACAGGGGAGTATCATATCGATATTTTAATCCTTGCAAGCAAATTTAACTCATGAACCATAAAAAATAAAATAAAATAAAAATAAAAAATAAAAAAAAATAAAAATAAAAAATAAAAAAAAATCAAGTAGTAATTTTCAGATCTAAGAACAATAATGTAAGTTCCACACCATAAATAAACCAAATAGACAAATAAATGGCATAAGGCTTATTTGAATTGTCATTGCTAGGTTGTGTATATCAGACCATAAGAAACCAGTGGATAAGCAATACAAATGTTATGAACAAAGTGTAAACACTAACACCATAAAATTATGGTTGAGGCCCTTTGCAGGTTCTCATCCATGAAGCTTGTAGCCAGCTCCTCAGAGAACAGAATTAACAAATTTCCTAGTTTGTGACTGTAGCTAGGAACAATAGATGACTTACAAAGAAGAATTTCTTGCTTCAATTTAAGTGCAGAAAAGAAGTCCCTCCTTCTTTTTAGCAATTTACACATTTCATCTGGGATAGGCTTTGTGATATCCTACACATCGTAAAATTTACTTGGATCAACAAGATGTCTAGAAGAGCAGGGAACAGAGAGAGCTACCTTTTCTACTTTACATTAGTAAACTTTAAAATCAAATCCAAGTGAATTTTTCCTTTGACATTTACCTGACATTGTGCTTATTTAGATATCACCAGTTTGCTATATGAGCATATCCAATATGATGGGTATATGTTTAGTTAGATCCCATTGATCTGTTTAACACCTAACATACAGCCCTAAGGATCAGGAAAGAATAAGCAGGGGGAGGAGGGCATCTATTGTTATATCTTTACCATGCAAAACCAACTTTATCTGGAAGGTTATCCACTTTTGCTCATAGGATTGTTCAGAATGGCTCAAGGGTTGAAGCCTGAAGGTGCTTGTAGTGGAGCAGAAGTCAATTAACCAGTTGAGGTCATAGAAGCCAAAGGGAGGTTAAGGAAAGGGATGTCATGGCTGCAGTTGTCAAGGTAGTGGTTGTAGGGGTATAGCAGTTAAAAGCTCATGAACTCATTGGTGCTTGGCCTTTTTAGTCTTGGGAAAAAGGTTGGGGATAAGATGCCACATTCAGTATCTATGTATAGAGGGGCTCTATATTATCTTTTTCTGTTTGGCTATGCTCTCTTCTACAGTAGTTCCTCTTTTTTTCCTTGTACTTTCTTTCTTTTTAATTGTTTTTTCTCACTACATCTTTCTTTTCAATTGTTAATGAATCCTGATATTCATTAAACAAATCCATTCTGCTAGTTGTTATGTTTAGAAGAAAGTTCTAAATCCTTTCTAAAGTAAGAAGATTTTAGGCTATGTTTGGTTTGAAGGAAAAGGTAGGGAAAGGAAGGGAAAGATGGGAAAACCCATACAAGGTTTGTAAAGGTTTCCCTATCTTTCCTTTCCTTTCCCTACTTTTTTTCCTTCAAACCAAACACAGCCTTAAGGAAAACAAAATAAGGAAAGTAGGAGGAAATGGAAACTGAAGTTAACAATGAACCAGAAATTCAGAAGGATGAATAGATTTAGAAGGACAAATAATAACATTACTAACCTGATGGAAGCCGGACATCAATTTGAGAGAGAAGCTTTCATAACACCTAGACAATAAAGGGAGTTGTAGCATGATTATAAAGTTTTATCCAACCAAAGTATTGCCATCAATATCACATACCAATTCTCTAGCAGTTGACCAGGAATTTCCACAAAGTCTGGATCAACACGAAGCCCGGAGAATCTAGCAAATGATGCACGATTGCAAATATGGTGGACCTGAAAACCCATTATTTACAACGGATCATCATACTTGCTTGTCATATCAAATTAACACATTAAAATACCACACTACCTGTTTCCAGTTCTCAAACAATATCTCCTTTGTCATCGAGGAAAAAGTGAAGGAAGTTAATTGAAGAAAAGATAAACCTCTTATTTCAAGAAAGTAACTAATCTAACTATTTGATTAAGAAAAGGAGGAAAGTATATGAGAGGATATGCATCCCATGCTCAATGAAAATTCTTAGGAAGGCAGACTTATCACAATACAAAAGATCCCACACCCCTCCTAGTAGATCATCAACCACCAAATTTAAGGGGAAGAGCTCCAAAGTGGAAGCTATCATTGGAAGAACTGAAAAGCTGACATTGAATGAGCATTATTAAGATATTTGATGGTTGTAAGCCTGTTCAGTTTATGAGGAATTGGAATAGAATCAACTTGTATAGGCCTTCCTTGTTTTATCTTTTATCTTAAGGGATCCTCTCCCTCTTTTTCTAGATTAATTAAAAGCTTTAACAGTTTATCAAAAGATGAACTAGGTTAGAACTTTATTATACTGTAAAATAATAAGCAAACATGGACATCAATTGAAAGTTATTAAGAAAAAATGATAAGAAATATGAACATACCACATGGCCAAACTCATGGAAAAGATTAACCACTTCTGAGAACCGCAACAACCCAGGACTTCCCTCAGTTTCCTTTTGGAATTGAGAAACAAATAACGCCACTGGGATCTAGACAAGGAAAAATCCAAAGAAAAATAACCAGTAAATTAGTTTTTTTCAAATTGCAATAAAATTAAAAGGAAAGATAAAACCTGCCATGCAACATAGTAGGCACACACCAACAATACAGGACAGTAAAGTAAATCAGCTATCTATCAGGATAGTAAAGCAAATAATTCACAGGGATCCATGTAAGAGCTTATAAGAATCAATAGAAATAGAAGCAAAGTCTCACCAATTAGTATGATGAAGCAAAATGTGGAACAAGAAAATCATAGCTTCTGTAAACTGATGCAAATGGGTTGGCAAGCATTGTCCAAACCTCAGAAGAAAATGCAGGATACAATTTCTCCTGCATAGTTTCTAGGCAGAACTCGCAAGATTAATTTCTCTCAATCTAGCAATCAGATTGAGCTAAATCTTTTTATATGCTAAAGTTCTTATGGTGTAGGAATTCTCAAAATTTCAGGAAAATTAGATCAGAAGGTCTTCAAGCATAAGTTCATCAACAGGAAACCAGGGACTGTCAGATTGACCATATGGGCCCACATAGCATGTGTTGCCCAGACCCAAGGAACTTACAATTCAAATCTCAACTAAATTGGACTCATGGTTTGAGAGCTATGGTAGTTTCCAAGTAAGAGTAGAATTCTAGATAAGGTTGCTATTTTTGGTTTTGCAAGTTAAATTAGGAGTTTAATTAGTAATACTGGTGAGGGGAAAACTACTACATCCCTCACAAGTCTAGCCCTTCTCTACTATATGCTCTAGAAAGTGAACAACTTAGTATATCAAGTACAAGTTTAAAATTGACAGGATTGGGGTCCTTGGAAACTTGGCCATTTGTTTAAATGAGATCAGGAGATTTCTTCTGATCATTGTTGCTCTTTTAGATAGATTCCGAGGGAGATGAACTACTTGGCTGATTCTCTTTCAAAACCTGGGGGTGGTCAGTATTGATTTGTATAGTGCTAACTCTTTACTGATGTAAATGCTTTGTTTTTTTTTTTTTTGGCTTTTTGCACATCATTCGTGTCCCCCCCCCCCCATTTGATTAATGAAAGTTGCCTCTTTTCAAAAAAAAAAAAAAAGTTTAAAACTGACAGGAGAAAGTTGCCAAGGCCTTTCTTATAAAATCAACCCATTGGCTAGGATTCAAAAATGACAAAAGTGCAAACATTCTCTCATCCATATCCTCCATTTCTCCCCAAAACTACATTTTCTATTACTTCCTCCAAAAAATCCCCATCCACCATATCGTACGCTTTCTCCAAATTTAGTTTGCACACTCATCCTTTTCTCTCAGGTTTTTTTTTTTTCATTTCTTGACTACACTAGTTAGCAGAAGAATTTACAACTTTTTATTTGCCTTGAGCGAAGAGTCAAAGAGATAATGGAGGGAGAACCTCTTTGACCCTTAGAGAAAGCACCTTAGCAACTATTTTGCAGATACCACTCACCAAACTAATAAGCCTGCAGTCTTTTTGATGAATAGCTTTAATTTCTTGGCAAAGGTGCTATATAGCCATCAATGTGTCATTCACACCAGCATTAATAATACCTCAGGTATCTTGTCAAACAGGCAGAGATCCCATAACCCATAGTTCTTGGATCAGTCTGCCAAACAGGCAGAGATCAAGAAAGAACGTCTATTAAACTTCAGTTGGAAGGAACAATGCAATCATATAGACCTTAATCCAAATATTTCTCCCTTTAAAGACAGGGTAGAATCAAGTGGAATAAACATTTAAACACACAAGCATAATCTTTCAAAAACTAAACATGAGTGCATGATCTGAACAGCCCTCCTAAAGTTGAGTTATCAAATTCCCAAGAAAAAGCTCCAACAAAAACAAGGGAAACCAGAACAAAGCAAGGAAGGCTTGAACTGTAAAACACAATGCACAAACAGGTAAGCTACACGTCATACCGTTTAGAGTATTGTAGTCGAATATCATGTCTTAAAAGCTTAACCATTACATATTTACAAATTGAAACACAGCTCAGCTTAATAAAAAAAAAAAAAATAGAAGATGCTTCATAATTAGCATATACTTCAAGGTGAAATATTCCAATCCAAAACCTGAATAAACCATCAATCTTGAAAATTCCAATCAGAAGTCCTCTTAAATATGAAGGTCAATAAGACAGTTACCTGCCGTGAACCATTTTGTGATAATGAACCATTTTGAAGAGCCATGACACAGGTGTGACCATATTTTCCTTCCCTATTTGACAATATCAACTGAAACCATTTCATTCTATCTCAAATGAAAGATACACAAATAAAAGGGTGGGCCAAACATTTATCAAGTAAAAAAAAGCAGACCTGGAATACATATCCAGGTAAAAATAACCCAAGAGTTCACTGGAACTAAAATCCAGAACTGAAAATAGGCGAACATCACCATGCCAAACCTCAGCATCTATGATTTCCTCGAACCTTAAGCCTAAGACATGTCAAAGGACTATCAATTTTATTCAATAAAAATAAATAAATGACTAAGCTGTATACTAGCATAATCAATGACAAATTCAAAAACACTTCAGAGTTATAAAAACATCAGGAAATATATCACAGTTACCAAAAAGGTCTTGGAATATTTTGAAAACCCCAGAGAGAACCACAGTGACAGGAAAGTATTGCTTAACAGCTCCCAAGTCTAGATCAAGCTTTTGTTCTTCTACCCTTTTCATGTAGTACAAAAGATCTTCAACCCCAAACAGAGATTCACCTTCCTCTTTCTTCTGAACATCCAAAACACTCAAAATTATAAGCTATTGAACAAGATATGAGAAGGACATAAGCTGGGCTAGAACCAACCTTCAAATCTTTAAGTGTTGCAAGTTCTTTTGAAGCCAAGTCAGTTAAATTAACAGAGATTTCCTCTAGGAACTCAAACACCTGGAAACCATAAGGAGAATATAAAGGGACACAACCCAACCATAAGGAGAATATCCGGAAGAAGAATTGGCATCATACACTAATTGCCAAGTAGAAATTATAATGATAAAATTGAGAGAAAGATCATTCTAAATAATTGCACCAGACATCATGGTTGGTTTGAGTTTCTATAAACAGAGAGAGCTGAACAAACCTTGGAAGACATCTTTGCCATTCTAGGCTCTACGGCATAATCAGCATAGTTCAAATAGCCAAGCAACCGAGCAAGCTTATGCCGTAAATGGACCTGAGTTAAATGAAACTACCACCTTTAATATCTGAGTTTTAAAAAGAACAAGAGGCAATGACATATAATCTCAGATATTATGCTTATAGTGCCCCCTTCTTGGGCAGATAGGAATAAAAGACGAGATTCATCAGGAGGAACCATGATAAGCAATATGCATAACATTCCACCATATTTTATCATTCAATATCAGTCACGTGCATCAATGCCATCTAAAAAAAATCAAGATATTTGTATGTACGGGGAGGAAAAGATGGATGAGAAAATGAAATGGAGAAGGTCCAAGATCAAAGACACTAAATATTCTGCATTCAAGGCATTCTGACTAGCCAATGTTCAATGAGTTCCAGAATGAACTTCAACAGTCTAACAGACTATATTATGCAGATATAGAATGGAAACAGATGAATACAGTATCTTCACTATTTATCAAAAAAAAAAATACAGTATCTGCACTATTTATCAAAAAAAATACAGTATCTGCACTAAAAATTTAAGCATCAAACATGATACAGCACCCTTGTATGAGTATCTGGGTATCATAGCTTATGCCTTATGGGAATAAAGTTTTAACAGAAGGGACCATTGGGTCAAATAATAGTCCAAGTATCAGTTTCTCACCAAATTTCAGCTGTCTGATGGAAATAAAACTATGCCCTAGAATAGAACCAGGTGAACCCATGACATAATGCATGTAGCTAAGTAAATTTGGTCAACAATATATATCATGAATAAGGGATATAAATGAAATCAGTGTTCAGCCAATGCTTTGCATCATAGCTGCTTCACATTTACCATATCTAGCTATAGAGGGAAACCTTAAAAAATTAGCTCATATGGTGATGAATGAATGATACTGCATAACTCATATGAAGCATCAGTATCATATTAAAGTGCAACTTTCAAAACTAGCATTCTGCAACATCGAATCAAAATAAAAGCTTGTTAAATATATACTTCTCATTGCAGCATTAGTGCATTACCAGATTTTCCAGGATAGGAAGATTAGTTTCAGAACATCTCTGCCCATATGCCACAGCTACCATCTTCCTGGTAGTTCCTACCTTCACAAAACCAAACAGAAAGCTGTTAATTGCAACAAACTTCTGATGTTACAGAGCCCACTTTAACATGCATCAAAGATAACATCGAAATGACAGAATAAATATGACAAAAAACAAAACAAAAAAAAATCCAACTCTGACACCATAACCATGAACTTGGCAAAGGGACCCCCATTTAACATACATTCAGAAGAAATTGCACCAAGGTGCAGTAGATAGAAATTTCCTTATACCAAACTTGGAAGTTTTATTGCTATTGAATTCTCATACAGCATGGATGAACACCTTATGGCAATTGAATTCACCAATCATGATATTAAAAACAACACACGTTATGCAAACATTGATGAAATTATTAAAAAACTAAGATTTCAATTATTCAAAAACAGAGAATTAACAAGAGCAAAGAAAGACAGAAAACAGTAAGAACCTAGAAAATGGAGCAAACACTGGCTTCAAAAGCCAAAGGCCACCCATAGGACAACAATTATAAGAAACCAGAGACTGTTTAGGGATGACAGAACCATGAAAATGCTCAGTTCTGTCCACTCCAGAGCAAGATGTTCACTCCAACAACCAAGGGCTCTACACCCCACTTCTCCACTATGATGTCATGGCAGCTATGAATACTCCCCCCCCCCGTCCAATCCATGCAATCACAACCTAAGAGTCTCCTACCACCACAAGCCTTTGAAAACCCAACAAAGATATCAATGTCAATCTCTGAAGTAGGACAAAAATGCGAATGCTTGTTTGAGTCTGAGAGCAGTCACCTAGTGAAAAAAATTAAAACTTGAAACAAAAAGAAAGACAACTGTATCCAATTCAATCCACATCCACCATGAATAATAACTATCACCAACTACTCTACTTGTACACTGCAAGCAATAAATGATATAATCAATTTCAACTTCAGACTACAACAAATATTCTTTAACCACATTTTGATGGAAATTAAACTGAAGACAAGTTTTAAAGAACCCAAACAAGTTTTTGGTTCACACTGAAGGTATTAAAACAAAATCCCCTAAAAAGAGCTAGTTTTCTCATTAAAGGATTCAAAGGAAAAAAAATAAAAATAGATTGGGTACCCTTGGCATTTGCAATTCAAATCATGAATCATATTCTAAATTGTAAAATTTTGATTGCCATGACTGCCCATTCAAAATTAAACTAGTTCCTTGTAATGAAATGAGATGAAATACAAAGCTTATACATTGTTTAATGTCTGAGAAGCATTTGAAAATTGTTAAAGAAAAAGGTGATGTGGCTTGTATGTTTGATGGTATTTTCAAGTAATGGGTAATGATAATTCAGAATGAACTTCCATATTGCATCGGTTAAAGTCGGGCTGCTCTTTAGGATACAGAACCTTCCAATTGGAAAGAGATCAACAAATAATCATAGGAAAATCTTGGGAAGGTACAGGGATCTGTTAAAGAATGTTAAATGGATGACATGGAATATGACTGTCAGGTTTCAGTGGATCAGTAGATCAGCAAATGCAATGGCTGATTCTCTGGCCAAGCAAGGGGTGTCAAGGGGAGATCTGTTTTGGGCTACTTTGTAATTGTGTCTCAGGCTTGGGCATGATTAGTGTATTTGGTTCAGTCCTCGGGGGAGGTAGCATCCCGTGCCTCCTCCTAGGCTGTTTGTATATTCGTTATTTGAATTAATAAAACTACTCTCATTTATCAAAAAATAAAAAATAAAAATCTTGGGAAGGTACCATTGCTCCTTGGCAGCTGCAGCATCATATCTTGGAAGCAAGACCTCTGGCAAATAATTTGAAGTTTTGAACACCTTGCTTATTTGGTTGTCAAGATCAGCAAGCCTGGGATGTGCCTCACTTGCTTGAGAGGGATTTAATAGAAAAAAATTGAATTGGTGGAGGACTAACCCCTCCACAACTCAAGATTGCCTTAGCTGTACGGTATTGGAGAGTTGCACCAGGGGCTAGTTCTCATTCTATCTGAAATGGGGATGATTATATTGGTACTCTCATTCTCTGTAACTTTCCTTGATCCATTGCTGATAAAAAAACTAAAAAAATAAAAAAGTGATGTGGTTTAAAAAAATGCATTACTCTGCTGGTATCCCCTGCTATCACAAACAAACTACTGGATATGTGTACTGAAGGGTGGAATAAACCACTTAAATTATGACATGATAAAAAGATCCATGAAGCTTACCATATCTATGATAAAGCTCCAATTGCCTACGACTTAGATACTTCCAAAGTTTGCAAAATTTCCTAATAACAACAATGTTCACAGTGAATTTCAGCCTAGCCTTCCTCCAGTGGAAGATAATGCCAATTTTTTTTGTTTGATGCTAGCTTTATTAAGAATTTCAGGCAAACTGGAATTGGTGGTGTCTTCATCAAGTTCAATCCAAGCACCTTTGGGCTTTCAGTGAGCCTAGTGAAAAAACCCAACTGTGTGGAAGCAGGTGTAAGGGTCTTGCTTATTGGTTTTGCTTAGCCATCAGCTTTAACTCTAAGTCATTAAGGAGAGTCCAGCAAATGCAGTGATGTCAAAAGGTGGGAAGCAGGACTTGGCAATTGACTCCAAAAAGATGGGATTGAAAGGAAGATGAACTCTATAGCAGATAAAAGGACATTACCAAATGTTGGTCCCAGCTATCTGGGGTCCTGGAAGGGGTAGCAGATATGCTAGTCAAATCAGTGACTACTGGGATTTTCTGTTAGTGACAGCTCCTTACCTTAGAGAAGTTTTGCATGGAGATTCGGCCTGTCTGTTAACATTTTTGTGCAGACGTATATGCCATCTCATGCACATTTTCTTTTGACATAGAATACAATTTGATTACTTTAGACCACAAAAGAAAAGAACATTCCAAGTGAATGGATGAACAAGATGTTTTCTGTAAAAACAATAAGACCTTGAAAAGTTGAAGCAATTCAACCAAACCAAGTAATCATAGCATAAACAGAATTATGGCATCATTTATTCAACTCAAAAAGGCATTAAACAATATTATACATTTATTATATTACAGCAGATCTTAAAGGGGAATGGATTAAGTAATCAAGAACAAAAACATGAAAATTCAGTATACCTTGCAGTACTCCAATACAGGAGAAACGTGATGACTTCTAAGGACAACCTTTAATTTACCATTTTCAGCTTTGTCTAAGCTCTGGCCAAAAATATGGTTTCCAACTATTGTTAGTATATCAAAGCAGAACATTTGTACGGGATGAATAAAAAATGCATTGAAAACAGGATTTGCTTTTCTTTTAGGTGTAGGGGGAGGGGAAGGGGGCTCAGCATTCTAGTAATGGCTTAATAAAACCACAATATGAAACAATATGAAACAACCTTAAGTATGCCACAGAAATGAATAAAATCACAATATGAAACCAGAAAGGCAATGCAAAAATTAAGAATCCCAAGTTTTCTACAAATATGTCAAGAATCCTAGTCATGCAGGGTCAAAGTCACCAATACAAATCCAACATGAGCAAATACACCAAAACCAAATTTCTAGAAAAAATCAAGGGTATTTTTACATGTAATTCTATAATAAATAATCTGCCATTTGATGCACTGCAGTGCAACCAGAGCTAAGTGCTTCAAAGAGTATCATAAAACAAAAATGGCATAGATCAGTTGCTTCACTGGAAAATCTTAAAATAAGATCCAGATAATCCATACAGATAAGGTAAAACCTTTGTGGCCTTATATGCTGCCTATTGACTAGACAAAAGAAAGTTGATCTAGAAGTTCTTCTTGATGGGCTTTGAGGAGATCATGATAGACAATGGCTCCAAATAGCTATTGGTTGGATGAATGGATGACAATCTCTTTCCATGCCCTTTGAGAATGAACATCTATGAGGTGAGATCATTGGCAATTAGGTCAGATCACTTCCACTGCATCAGATTATCTCATATCTCCCACTGCAACTAAATATTTGCTTATTCATAAATTCTTCATAATTTCAGTGCTTCTTTGTCAGCTGAGGTGTCATTTCTGTATGCATAGTTATAATTTAGCCCTTTATATTTGGCATCTCATATTTAGCCATGTTCTTGTGGATAACTCTGTCTCCATACCTGGTTTTATCTCTTTATAAACTTCTTCTACTGATGATAAAAAGAAAGAAACAAAAAGATTGATCTAGAAATTCCTCTTGTTTTAAATTTATTAGAAGGTCAAACAGATAAATAAAAGGTGAAAAATGAGAGGTTTGACCAGATCAAGTAGGCTTTGCCTTTGGACAAGGGGCTTGAAGGAGAACTAGTAGTGTTAATATATCTGCCCGTAGGCCTGAAAAATGTATCCGGAAATTCGAATTTGAATTCGAGATTCAACTTAAACAAATCGAATTCGGATTATTCGGATTGAATAAATGGTCAAATTCAAATCTGATTTGTGTACCAATTATTTCATCAGATCAAATTTGAAGCTATGCCAATTCGATTTGATAAATATTCGAATTATAATATATATCATTCTAAACTTTAGTTCGAGTTACACTCCTTTACACGATACCCAAAGTGTCCATTGTATCTCTTTATTACAAAAGACAATTAAAAGTTATCTGATTGAAAGATAAGACTAATTGACATGCAGCTACTTTTTCAGGTTTCCGCTTTTTAATTTACCGAGATACCAAAAACCCACTCTTCTCCCCTCTTTCTCCTCTCTCCTCTCCTCCTGTATTCTTTTTTTTTTTTTTGGAAAGGTGAAGTAATATTTATTGAGAAAGAGATACACACAGGAGGCTGAGATCAGTCCCAGAATAGGCTGACTGATCTAAAACAGCAAATACATGAACCATCAAGAAACAGAAAATAAAACATCTAACACATTACAGTTTCTAAACTCTGCAACCACAGACAGCCAAGAAATCAGCTTGCCCACTAACTTCTGAGATAGGTCCTCCAGACTAAGAAACTTATTATTGAAGACCCTTCTGTTCCTCTCGGTCCAGATGCACCAGATTACCACAATTGGAATCAGCTTCCAGAGAGTCTTTTTTTTCTTGCTCAAACCCCTAATCTGCCAGCAGCTTAACAACTCTTTAACCGACCTCGGCATCACCCAGCTAACCTTCACAATGTTGAGGAGATGACTCCACAATTGAGCAGAAAACGAGCAGTAGATGCACAAATGATCAGTGGATTCAGCACTGCAACCACATAAACTGCAAGACAAGTCTGAAACCTGGATGCCCCTTCTCACAAGATTTTCCTTAGAAAGGCATTTATTTAGAGCCATAGTCCAAACCAGGAAGCAGGCTTTTGTTGGGCTGGTTGGATTCCATACTTGCCGAGCTAGGAAATCAGGACCACCCCTCCTACCAATCATAGCAGCCAAGGATTATACAGAAAACAGGACCACCAGAGTTCCACCTCCAAAGCCACTTATCCTCCAAATTATAATCCAGAACTTGATTTTGGAGACAGGACAAGAGATTCACTGCCTCTTCCACCTCCCAATCAAAAAGATTCCTTCAAAAACTCGAGTCCAAGGAGCTGAACCACCCGAAATACTATAGCACTCAGCAACTGAAGCCTCTTGATCAGAAGCACGCTTAACGGACTCAGCAACAGGAACATCAGAGCACCAAGGGTCCTTCTAGAATTTGGTCCTGTTGCCATTACCCACCCTAATTGAGACTCCCCTGGCCAAATCTGAATAGGTCTTCATTATCCCTTTCCATAGAGAGTTACCCCAGTTAGGAGGAGGATCCCTAGTTCTCCAATTTCCCCAACTCACACCATATTTACTGGCAATGAGAGATCTCCACCAAGCATCAGGCTCTATAGAAAATCTCCAAATCCATTTACAAAGGAGAGCAGAGTTAAAATTTTTCAGCTTCTTTATACCTAACCCCCCTTCAGATTTGGGGAGGCAAACTTGCTCCCAACTCACCAAGTGCACTTTTTACTCCTCCTCCCAGCCTCTCCAAAGAAAATTCCTTTGAAGCTTTTCGATCTGATTTGCAACCTTCTTAGGAATATAGAAAAGAGACAAGAAGTAGGTAGGCAAATTGGAGAGAGTACTCTTAATCAGAGTCACCCTCCCCTCAAAAGAGAGATATTTTGCCTTCCAAGAAGCCAGCTTCCTTTCCAATCTCTCAATAACTGGGTCCCAAATTGCAGAGGAACCACCACTCACCCCTAGCGGGAGTCCCAAATATTTAACTGGGAGGAACTCAATCTAACAAGCCAAAATACCAGCACACTTAGCTAAATTAGACACTTGGCCAACTGGGATAATTTGGCTCTTGTTCCAATTTACTTTTAGCTCTGTAATCACTTCAAACCAAGACAGAATCCCAAGGATTAGCTCCACCTGAGAGGGGGAAGCATCCACAAAACATAGAGTATCATCTGCAAATTGAAGAATATTCACCTTTTCTCCCCCCGGCACAATTGCAAAACCATCCCATACTCCTGAGATTGCAGCCTTTTTACAGAACAGAGTAAGAATCTCCATTACACATATAAAAAGAAGATGAGATAAGGGGTCTCCTTGCCTAAGGCCCCTGGAACTATCAAAGAAACCTGCAGCCTGCCCATTTACCAGGACTGAGAACTTTGGAGAAGTGATACAGACTTTAATCCAATTTCTCCATTTCTGCCCAAAATTTATCTGATCAAGCACAAGGTCCACATGTCTCCAGTTAACATGATCATAGGCCTTCTCAATGTCAAGTTTACAGATCAAACCTGGGGAACCCTCTTTTTTCCTTGAATGAATGAGCTCATTGGCAATAAGAACCGAATCCAGCATCTGCCTACCCGAAATAAAAGCACTTTGGTTGTTTGAGATGGCACTACCAAGGACTCCTTTTAATCTTTCAGCAAGCACTTTACCTAGGATTTTATAAAAACTATGCAGAAGGCTAATCGGCTTGAAATCCCTAATAATCACTACACCTTTAGTCTTTGGAATAAGGGTGATGAAAGTAGTATTTAGGCTTCTCTGCAACGAACCCCCCTCAAAAAAATCCTGGAAAACATTCATGATGTCCTATCTCACCATATCCCAGCATTTAATATCAAAGAGATTTGTAAGACCATCGGGGCCAGGAGACTTCTCATCAACCAACAACTTGATAGCTTCTTTGATTTCCTCCTCAGAGAAGGAACCCTCAATAAGGGAAGATTGCTCCTCACTCAACTGGTTAAAAGGAAGGGATCTTGAAAAAGGTCTGAAAGACCATGATTCCTTATTCAGCTTCTAATAAAAATTTGTTGCCACAAGCTTCATATTAGTCTCAGTGATACCAATCCTGCCCTCACTCTCCAGTCTGGTAATTACAGAAGCTCTAGCTCTAGCATTTGCCATTTTGTGAAAAAAATGTGTATTCCTATCCCCCTCTTTCGGCCAAGCTACTTTGGCTCTTTGCCTCCATTTAGTTTCTTCCACCACTGCCAATTTGGCCTCCTGCCTTTTTAGTCTGATCTCCTCAGCAATAGAACCTAGTTCTTCAGCTGTATCTATCTCCTTTATGAAACTCAGGAGAGCCTTCTTCTCTATGTCTGAATTTAAATTCTTTTCCAACTTCCAAATCTTTAATCTTGCTTTGATAGCCCCCAATTTCTTTGCCAAAATGAATGAACTGGTACCCTCCACATGCAACTCCTCCCAAACTGACTTCAACAAAGGAACAAGATTAGCATTCTCTAATTTAAAAAGAACTTTAGCTACCATTCTAGCACCACAAACCAGCTGAATTGGACTGTGATCTAACACTGGCCTTTGCAAGTGCAATATTTCGTTTTAGTGCCTCAAGTAAAGAGAATCACCTGCTGCCTACTATTGAAGACAAAATGGCGTTTTGAAGTTTAAGCTTCAACTTCTGTCCATGAGTTTCTTTCTTCTATTTCTTTCTTGTTCTAGATTTTTTGAGGTTTTTTGTATTGTTAACAAGTGAGTTTGTATTTTCTAAGGCCTTTCTATGTCGTTCACAAGCAATGGTTGTTTTTATGTCTTTGTTTTAGATTTTAGATTTAGGGTTTTCTCTGTAAAATCGGTTAAATCAAACTGAATCGAATATTCAACATTTTAATCAAAATCGAATTCGGTTGAGACTTTTGCATATCCGACGGATCTTGAATCGAATTCAAATCACTTATTTTGTAATTGGAATTGAATTCAAGCATGGCTTGATTCGATTCAAAATCGCTCCGTTTACAGGCCTATCTGCCCGTCAAAAGAAATAAATTCTAAATCAACCTACTACTCTACTATGATGCAAAAACAGCAAACTGAGATGAGGAAAAAAGGTGCAAGTGCCAAAGTTCTCACCCCAAAATGCTACCATATTTCTTTTCTCAGAGGTCCAAAAAATGACTACAAGCCAATTGCAATGATATTTGAAAGCATAGTGTAACTTAATGACAGGGTTGCATTTCTAGCCATAACGAAATATTCAACCCAAACCAATTCAGCTGATTTCACAAGTCACAAGGCATTGGCGGTGATGATTTTTCATCCTCAACAAAGGTCTTATATGAGCTTAGAAGAGCTAGGTCACAGTTCTTAATTGTCAATGGAGAATACCTCGTATCAGAAAGGGGCACAATCTTAATATCCCTATCTCGAGAGGTGACATGACAGCCATCTTTTTTTATATCGATAACAGAAATCTTTATTAATGAATAATACTTGTGAAAATTAATTACAGAAAATGGGGAGGTAAACTATCTTAACTCCCCAACATCAAAATGRCAAYAAAATRCTAARAATGTKYCCAAAAYAAMGAATCCTTAGCCACCCCTTGCTTAGCTAACCCATCAGCCATTGAGTTAGCACTTCTCTTCACCCAGTTGTATTGCACCTCTAAGTTCTTACACAGCCAATTAAATTTTTTCTTCTCATTGTTGTAGCTCCACAAGCCATTGATATCTCCTTTCAACCACCTAATCACCACCTTCGAGTCCCCCTCAATCACTAAGCATCTAATGCTTAATTCTCTTGTTCTTTGGATTCCTTCAAGAACTGCTTCGGCTCTAAGAGAGTCACTCTCTCCAATTGGCTCAGAGAACATGGCAGTAATATACCCCTCCTCATTCCTAAAAACACCCCCATCAAAATTCAATTTTATGAATCCAACGGGAGGGGGGGTCCAAGTGGGACTACAGTTCCTTTTATACATAACAACAGTAGCAACCTCTTTCCACTTTCTCAACATGTCTGCCATAGAGAATTCAGAGAATATCAACATTGATTTCAGCCAATGAGCAACCCTTGAAAGTATCAAATCTGTTAGGTTTTTTGTGGTTCTTTTCTTATCTGAAAAAAATTGTGAATTTCTTTCTTCCCATATTGACCAGCACACCGCAGCCCTAATGCTTCTCCACATAATCTTCCCCTTTCTCTTAGGCCAACTAAAGAAAGGAGAGAACAAGCATTGCACACTCCCAGGGGGATTCCAAGTATACCCAAAAAGGGAAAACACCCACTCCCAAACAATTTTAGTAACTGGACAAGTAACCATAATATGATAACCCGTTTCCCCATCAGCTTTGCAAAGAATACACCTATTGGGAAGTAAACAGCAGTTGGGCCTCTTTCTTTAAAGTCATTTGTGTTAACTCTTTCCAGAAAAATTTCCCAACAAAAACTACCAACCCAAGGAGGAATAGGTTTGCTCCAAATATCTTTAATCGGGAATGACAGCCCAAGCAGTGTAGTAGGTTGGACTAATGTCTCAAAAAACGAAGCACAAGAGAAAGAGTTGGATGAAGAAGGGGTCCAGATTCTGGTGTCTCCCTTACTAGGGTTCAAGAAAACATTTTCAAGGATGGTTAGCAAAGATGACATACACCCCAAATCTGTATCCCTTATTGCCCTTCTCAACCTCAGATTCCACCCAAACCCAGAAGAAGAATCAAAAGGAACCAAGAAGGAGGAAATGGGTTCATTTTCAAATCTGACAAAGTAAAGAATGAAGGAAATTGGTCTTTCAGAGGTAGGTCCCCAACCCAAATTTGCTCCCAGAATTTTATTCGATTACCGGAGTTCAAATCGTACCTGATCCAAGGGGAGAAAACTGGAAGCAAATCATGAATGGCTTTCCACGGGGATGCGGCAGTAGTCCTTGCCAAAATTTCAGGATCCCAGTCATTCTCATCCAGCCCATGTATGCTAGCCACAATCTTCGTCCACAATTTGTCCCTTTCCAACGGGAATCTCCACAACCATTTCCCCAATAATGCCATGTTCCTTTTCCTGATATTCCCAATCCCAAGCCCCCCTAGCTTCTTGTTCCTATTTACCATTTCCCACCTCACCCTATGGTCTTTCTTCTCCACTCCCGGTTCCCAAAAAAAATCCCTCATTAATTTTTCTATCCTGTTTGAGACCTTTGTAGGAATCTTAAACACTGACATGAAGTAAATAGGAAGGTTGGAAAGGGTAGACCTAATCAAGGTGATTCTCCTCCCAAGAGAAAGACAATTTTTCCTCCAAGAAGCAAGCCTTTCTCAAATCTCTCTACTACCGGGTTCCAAAAGCTTTCATTCTTGGGGTGATCTCCTAGGGGGAGGCCCAAATAAGTGATAGGCCACTCCAAGATAGCACACCCTAACACACCTGCACAATCACTTACTTCCCTTTCCTCAAAATTCACTCCCACCACACAACTCTTATCGAAGTTCACTTTAAGATTAGACATCTGCTCAAAGAGTTGTATTGTCAGTTTAGTTTTCTGATCCATCTTATATCCCCACCCTCACAAAATAGGATTGTGTCATCTGCAAACTACAAGTGTGTAAGTGGTACTTCCCCCCCTTCCGACTCTCCAACCTCTTAATAAGTCTCAAGAATCGGCTCTATGTATCAGTCTCCCCAGGACATTTGCAATCAAAGTAAAGAGAAAGGGGGAGAGCGGATCACCTTGTCTTATTCCTCTCATGACCGGAAAGAAATCCACCGCAGTTCCATTCACCAATATCGAGTAAT